TGCAGTTAGTTCATTGTGTGGCATTTCCTATAGCCGTTACGCCGAGCGACCGCATGCACTGTGTAATGTGCATACTTGTCGTCCTTTGTTCACTTTCATGCAGTAGAAATTTTGTTGATTTCAAGTCGTCTTTCATGTCCGGTAACTTACAACGCAAGACGTTTAACGGATTATCGAAATTTTCATTCAAGTCTGTCGAGCAACTACTTAACATCGATAAAGTAAAAAACTATTATTAACCAAAGCCTATAATATAAATTCTGAAAGCATTTATATTAATACTGCAATGTTTAGATACGAAATAGACCTAGATACGTAGAAATGATAAGCAGCCCTGAAGACACACGTTTGCGCCTGAAAAAAAGTTATACTTCCTTGCGTGCTAAGTGAATGAAACTCCGCGTTCTATTGAATATTCTTCTAATACTTCTGGTCTTCTGTTCTTTAATATTTTCTATATTATTTTCTTACTGTAACAGGAAAAGTGGCCGGTACACACAAGGCCGGCAAGCACGATAATGCAGGCGGTCTCAGGCTTATGACAGAGCAGCGGTCTCCGGAGGCCTCATTAGATGTAAATCCGCAGCCCGAGTTTTTGGTTACTCAATAGCGGAACCACAGAAGCCGCAGCTGCTGCCGTGATGTGCAATAATTATGTGAGGAGCTTTGGCAGCGGCGCATGCGAGCTGAGTTGAAAGTTGGCGGTGGTAATCGATGGTATTCGATCAATTTGTAACATTCGAGAGTTGTAAATCGGCTAGCGTTTTTGGTTACTCAATAGCGAAACTGCAATGGCGGCAGCTTCTGCCGGGAGACAGAATAATTATGTGAATAGCTTTGGCAGCGGCGCTTGTGAGGCCAGTTGAAAGTAAGAAAAGCAATCGTTTTCGATCAAGTTGTAATATTAGAGAGCAATGGTTATCTCTCACTGAATAAAACAGAATAACGGTTTATTATTAAAAAAAAAGACAAAATAAAAACAAAACAGTGGTGTTGAAGAAAAAGAACATTATTCAAGTTTCTGACAAACGTTTATAAATTTACCTTTCGTTCATGTGAGATTCATTCAAATAGCAAATACTTTTTAATAAAAAATATGTTTGGTAGTACGCACACGCAGTGCGCTCAAGTTAACTATTTTATCGTGCATTCAATTCAAGAGTAGAGACACGAGAGGACCTCAGCCGTAAATATAAGTGATACTTTAATTATATAATAGCCTTTTAATAGGATAAGATACTGACACAATCTCTAATCCTATAAATTACAATCATTGCTCTCAATCACAGCGAAAGCCGCATTGTTAACGGTGACTTACAACTCATTCTCATTGTTAAACATTCATTATCATTCTAAATAACCATTAATAACCATTGAACTGACGTTTAAATATTCACAACAATCTCAGAAGGAGCAGCAAATAGCACTCACTAAACATTCATCTCTATGTGGGTAGGTATGTAAGTATCCCAGAATTTACATCTACGCTCGGAATAAGACCTAATACTTCAAATAATGTGACTAATGATAATATATAAGTACTACTAATTAAACAAACAATGAAGGAAGAGACACAGTGTTCATAAATTATATGAAGCAGAAGTGAAATTATCTAGCTAAATGACGAATTGAACTTTCGGGAGTGAAAGTTCTTTTGATTCAATATTGTACAGCAAACTACTTCAATTTCGGCATCACTGTAGATAATAATTTGTAAAGGGCAGTAAATTCGTAAAGGGCAGTTGAGCGACCGTAAAAGGATTTTTGAATACATAGTGAAATTTAAAGGAACTGCGACGCCCAAAAATAAATTCCGTAGAAATAAACAAGTCGTTGTTGGAGATACTAAGTATGGAAGTAATAATGGAACCGTCGGACCGTGAGTGTGTGAAACACCGACTAAAATAGACAGACACGTATGGAAGAGCTGGAAAAACTCATGAGGTTCAGTCACGACCCAGGACTAATGGAGCTAAGATATACATTGATGAATGACCACATGAGCATTTCTGCAGCATTCATATGAAAAGCTTTAGGAGGAAATTATTAGTGGACAGCCATCAACGAAGTGATGCTGTATGGCAAAATAATTATGATATAACCAAAGTTGCATAAATTAAATCGTAGCATCACAACTTGTGAGCGAAATTGTTTCAGGCCAATATTGTGACAATCACATGGACCTCAGAACCAATGATTATTTGAGACTTCTATAGTAAATTATTCGAAATTTAGGATCTTCCTGTGTTCTAAAAAATATGTTAAATTTTCTACATTAAAAAAAATCGCGTTTACAAAGCCAAATAGAATAGTTAAGTCTTAAACCACGCGTAAAAATATCTGAAATGATCCGCTTGCACATGATAGACGTTATCTATGGGGCGATCATAATGAAATGACAGGCAATTAAAAGTTCACAACATGCAAGACTGCAGGCGCGCGTGCAGAGGAGTCTTGTAGCGATGCACGGAACAAAGACGCCCCAAAAATGCATAAAAGGGCAACCGCCAGCGACCAGGCCCACTGCCTGGCGATTAAATTGTTCCTCAGTATCCATAGTATGTGTTTCAGATGTTGCAGTCCCAGGCCACGCTCGATCGAGCGCAGCCTCATGTTCCATGCAAAGTCACGATGCTGTTCGATCTTGAGCAGGCTCATTGGGATGAATAGAACACATCAAATGGCAAACTGACACGGTGAGTAAAGAAACTGTTCTATAGAAGATGAAAAAAGAAAAATAACATCACGATGAGGAACATTTGAAGTATGATGTTTAAGAAAATTATAACACTAACAAGTAACAAGAGTACGAGATGTATTTTGCTGTTAATAAATAAATAATATATAAGCTATCTGCATTTTTTGAATGCTTCAAGCGGTAGCAGTAGAGTAATTTGAATTAAAACTAATGGAAGAAACGATTACGCTTTTATATGTGGTACGGTATTTTACTTGATGACAGATATCAACGAAAATATTTGAACTAATCTTAGTAGTAATAATAAGCATGAATTCACATGCAATACATCAAGACAGAAATCTATACATTTCCCTACAAAATTAGTTGAATTTTCTGCAGATCCTCCTCCAGCGTAATGTTATTCGGACTAAGATAAACAATATAAAATTAAAAACAAAGAATTGTATAAATCGATAAATTTCGAACGCATTCAGATTATGCACAAACACTCATCAATCAAAACTTATCCAAATAATTCTTTCCTTTAGAATATCCAAATAGCTCTTTTCTTTTTCCTTAATTTCTAACCAAAAAACCTTCCGAACGGAACACATGGTCTGGGGTGAGCGAGCATTGCTTATGGTTCAGATATATGAGCCACCCCTAAAAAGCGATGCCAGGACCAACAAATCGCACCAGCACAGCACAGTCAACTGTAGACATTGCTGTAAACAAACATAAACAGCCACACGTGTTGTGTCTGTAAAAAAAACTCGGCGTCACACGACGTGTTTCAAAGGTCATTGTTGAAACTGTGGATTGCCGCTTAATAGAAAATTTAACTTTAGTTTTATCGCGCCATCACGGTTGTGATGCATGGTGCGCCGATTGAAGTTCCGATTTGTACTGCTTGTAGGCGCGAGTGTTTTGCTCCCAATTAAGAAAGAAGGAACCTATGCTAAGAGGGAAAAGTCAAAATTAATGTCCATGAATCATCAACCAACAATGTGTGACTTAATGAAGACTTGAGATTAAAACCAATTTAGTTCCAGTCGTATCTGAACTTTTTTATCTTGTCACGAATTTTAAAAAATGAATTGCTAAAAAAAAAGTAAATTTACATTCTCAAATGTTATAAACAGTAATGTATTTATATACCCCAAATTCAACCAATCTCCCCTAAATTCATCCCAAAGAATATTATCAACTAAACACAGAGAATAATTTATCCACATTTTGGAACAATGGCTTGAAGTTTCAATGACTTCATAGTCATTGTTTTCATATTTATATTGTGCGTTCAAATACAGTTTTAACGAAAACTTAAATCCGTTCATCATGGACCATATTCTTTGATTCATTATACAAAAACTCACACGAAGAGTTGAAGTTAGAAAACTAAAGTGAATTAATTAGGTATAAGCGAAGCCCAGCAGCCTTTGAACTACTGACACAGAGGCCAGCCTAATTCCAGTTCATCAATTCGAACGTCCATCAGCCCAGTTTTTTTAAGGCAAAGTCACTCAACCGCAACGAACGCTAAGCGGCGTCCAAGTATTGCACTGCTCGATCCTCTTAGACAAAAAAAATTGCCCTGTTAACCAAGCGTATTTTCAACACAATGCAACTAATTATCATAAATCCTTTGAGCATCGGAAGAAAACTTCCACTTTGAATTTGAATAATCGAGTTAACGTTGAACGTTGCATATAAATAGTATAATGACCGCTATATTTAGTCTATAAGTCGCGGAACGGACACGTCTAGAACTCCTCTTTTGGTGATGCATAAACTATAAAAAGACAAAACAAAAATATTGAAAGAAAAATATTTCTTTCAATATGAAGATGAATTGTAGATAAAATTATTTTACCACGAAACTATTAAACCAACGGTATAAATTGCTCACATCTTGTAATGATAACAAATTAGGTCGGAAATAAAGGGAAAGTCAAAGGCCGAAGAACTCGCTTGCAAATCGAACAACTCGCTTGCTACGATTCCATACGTACGGTATACCAGCCCTACGGGGGTAGAATTTAATGAGGCTCTGGAGCTACCACCTGCTTCTCTTCGGTCCGTTATTTTAGAGGCTTTCTCTACTGAAACACACAAAGCCCTTAGATAGCAGGGATTAATAGCGCGAGGCATGAACTATAGAACGCTTCCATAATACCGAACTTTTGCACGCTATAAATAGTATAATAAGCCCGCCAATGCATTATTAACGGGCGTGAAATTAGAGAACAAGTTATTCATAATAAAGTTGAGACATAAAGTTGACAAATTAAAGTTGTATGAAGTCAAAAATAAATCTTACCTCAATTTCGGAGGCCGATCATGAATTTGTCGAAGTGGTTCCATACGCTGCTGATGGTTGTCCACCGATGACTTCACTCACAAGAATAAGTATTTTACTCACTGGTGGAGAAACTTCCTACCTTATCGGCAGTTTCTCAACAGAATCAGAAAGAATCAGACTAAATTATTCAGGTATTGAAGTTGCCAAGTAAAAATCTATCCGGGAACGACTAATTTCTTACAATTTTTTTATCCTGTGCTTAAGACAAACAATAAAGCTTCTAAATTCACGGCGACACTGAACATCACTGAAATACAAGGATCCGGATTCACATCTGATTTTTTAAGTAGACAACTGAGGACTCAAATTATCGAAACTGACGAGAGGACTAACTTCTGATATTTTCTAGAACACTAAAAAACAAATATGAATGTAACCACACTGAAACGAGAGACGAGAACTGGGTTAAGAATCTCACGAGAGAATTAAGTGAAGAATCGATAAAGCAAATGTTTAATAGAGTGGAAGAAATCTTAAAAATATCGCTTGTCACTAGCCTCCAAGCAATCTTTAAAGTTTAAACCCAATATAACTTGGTCTTGCAAGGAATAAGTTCGGGGTTGAAATATTCACTTATGGCTTTCGCATCACAATGCATTTACAAGTAAACGCATGGACAACTAAAACAAACAAGTTTCTGCAGTTAGTTGCAAGCTGCAAAACTATAGGTACAGTGACATAAATCACCAAAGGAATTACAATGTAGGTTAGAATTATTTAGCCTCTATAGCTACTTGCCACTAATGTATATTTAAATTTTAATGTCGTGAAATAACAAACAAAAAATTAAGTACTTAGATTTAAACTCCGATTATTTATTTTCGTCTCATTACATTCTTTGTTATGTACAATCAGGAGCGTAGCGAAGAAACAAAAAACAAAACTAAAAACAAGCAAACTCGAATCCTCTAATCGTCTAATGGTACTAGGTAGGTATCTTGGCAAAGACACACATTCTTCCTTGTCATTCGGAGGACGTTTAGCATTGGTTCAGAATTAATCCAAACAAACAATGAGAATGTAGAGCGCGGCATAACAGAGAACATTTCAGCCAACACATATTAGAAGACAACCCAAAAAAATGAATGCACTCACAACTTCAACGGACTGACTCTCACTGAACTACTAAGTGAAGCATCTAACCAGTTAGCCTAGTCCGTGGGTAGCCAACTTATCAACTATTTGGGCCATTTATCGTGCGTTTATTAAAACGCCCACATATGAAAGATACAATACTCCACCCTATGGAAGCTATACTCTGCTTCTTTTAACTGTGATGCTAAAATCGTAGTACAAAGCACCAGACAAACGGAGCAAAGCTAATACACACCTCACCACCTCACTGCTAAACGCACACTGCTCTATTCGTCAAAACTCAACACTGAACTCTCAACACTATTAGCTTCGTTGTGGCTGCTCCCTTCAGCCAACCAGCGATCCGCGAACACAAAGAAACAAACGTTTGAATACAAAAAACGTTCTATGAACAACTTATAATAGCTGAAAGATATGAGTCATGATGCAAACAAAAAATATGTTCTTGTCATGATTAGAATGTTTCATGCGGTGTTAACTTGCGTCTGATTTAAGGCAAATTTGCGTGAAAGTTGGTACCTCTATTAGCCCCTAAATTCTAGTCGTCGATATCGCGTAGGAAATTATCAGCAACAAATTCAACAAAATAACCCTAATCAGCAAGTTTGATGAATGAAATAAATGAAGACAACTGTACGCTTCGTGTTTTAGATTAGTTACGAAAAATGACATAGATAAAACTGCTTTCAAATGAGATATTGCTTAGCTGGAATAATGATGAAGTTTCAAGATAGAAGCGTACATTGGACAATGCCTCCGCTGAAAGCTACGTTGTGTTTTATAGTTTCTAAACTTCACAAATTAAATTTATTGTACATGTGCAATTTCATGTTTCATGTGGAGTTTGCCACACATACCCAGCTATCTGGCCTGGAAACCTGTACATGGATGCTCTGAATTGAATTTGTCTAAATGGTGAAAAATTTACATCAATCGAAATGCACGAAAGCGTTTTTATTAAAAAAGAAGTGGTCAATTAAAAAGCGATGTCTTAAACCCGACCATAACCTCTAGCAGAATTCCATGGCAACGTTTGTCCTAGCGGTTGTCATGGTAACTGAGCTGCTTGCTTATCCTGCCGTATTGTTTAGTGTGAGATCTATAGTGTCAATTGAAACCATTCGTGAACATTGGCGCTAAAGTTTGATGATTCTGAGAACTCATTCAAGTGCCTTCCTCGTCTGGATTGCGAATGGATTGTAAATTATATAGTGCACTCATTCCCCCCGCTGCACACAGCTTTGGCCAATCTGCGTCGATGCTAAGGAAACAGAATCCTTATCATTGCACTAACTTGTTCAGCAAAAGAAACCACCAATTCATGAGAAACAAATATAACTTAAAGTTTACACAAATTTAATCCTGAAACTTTAATCGTTCATCACAAATTTAACGATACGCTCTAATTGCAGGAAGTTGGCAAAAACGAATGGCCAGAAGTTATTTTAAAAAAGAGGTCAATTTCGTCCCAAGAATCGAATAGGAAGAGAGTCTATTTTCATCAACAATTTAGCACGCATCTCGAATTATGGCATCGATAGCGGAGCAGAGACAACATATCCTCGACCTCACCAAAGAGCTTCGTCAGAAGATTCTGCTTACAGGTTTATTCTTGAAAAATTCTACCCGTATGCAGAGAATTACTCAGATATTACTCTCATTATTTCTAATCTACTGAAGTTTCAAATATTCTTCTATGTGTACTTATACGCAGATTGATGTTATGTAATTATTTTTCGATTATATAGATTTACCTATAGCCTATACATACATATTACCCATATATTACTTAGACCTATATTACATGGGTATTACCTCTATAACCTATAGATTTAAGGGATATAGGCTCAATAATAACGGTAAACGCTGGTGGTACAGCGCCGGTGGTTCCGCGATTTTTTTTACGCGATTTTGTGTTATCGTTATTGCTGTCGTCTGATGACGTCAAATTCAAGCAGTCGTCATCAAATTCAAGCAGTGTCGATGATGTCGTCAAATTCAAGCAGTCATATCCGTGGTGCATTGTTAAACATAGCCAAGACTTCTGCACATCCGTGGCAGCATGAGCACCAATTCTTATAATTTATAATTATAATTGAGCACCAATTCTTATAATTTGCGAAGTTACCACACTTGCTAATCTTACCCATACTTACAGAGGGCGAAGGTAAGGCTTTCTACGAAGAAAGTGAAGCTGAGAAGCAGACCAATAAAGCCAAGATAGCTGAATTGAGAGCCACCAACCGAGCTCTGCGGGCACGAATACATGAAGCCGTTCAGGTAAACTAAATTGAGATGCCGGGCTCTAAGTAGCTACTGTTGTTTCATTATGAAATCAGAAATCGATCAAGAATATTCAGTCATAAGTCTTCAATGAACATTCCTGGTCAAATAATGAATATTTCACAGGGGTCAAACAATGAACATTTTTAATGCAGTCATTCGGTGAACATATCAATGTTTGGTTCAAATATCGGTCACTGTTCAAAAAACGAAAGATGTTCATATATTTACCGTGACTTTCGCAGGGCATTTGACAATAATTTATAAGATATATATTCCGTGACTTTCACAAGGCGTTTGACAACAATTTATATTTTATATTTCCCGTGACTTTCACAGGGCGTTTGACAACAATTTAAACAATATTTTTCCCGTGACTATCGCAGGACGTTTGACAAGAATTTATAATATATATTTCCCGTGACTTTCGCTGGGTGTTTGACAACAATTTATAAGATATATTTCCCGCGTCTAATTTGACAGCAATTTATGAGATATATTTCCCGCGACTTTTGCAGGACGTTTGACAATAATTCATACAATATTTTTCCCGTGATCTTCGCAGGGAGAGGAGCGCGCTGTGGAGCGTGTGCTGTTCCAGGAGAAGAGGCGTCACAGCAGCGTCAGTAGTCGACCGTCTCCGGTGCCCCTGTACCCGCCCTCGAGGGTGACCTCAGCAGCACATACCCTCGAGCACACTCATTACAAGCTGCATGACCTCGCCAAGAAGCTCAATGCACTGAATCACATAAAAAATAAGGTGGAAAGTTTAAATCGATAGGCCTGACTGCTCATGTGTATTTGTTTTTTTTTTTTTCATTTGTACATTTAAGTTTCAATATCTTCAATGTGAGTATTAGTTTGCTGATCGATTGTACTTATTTTATAAAATTTTGAACTGCGATGTAGCTGAACTGCGAAACATTTTCTCGAAAAAATGTTCAATGTTTTTGCTGTTTTGTTTGCTTTTAAATTTTTGACAAATTAGATATTTATAAAGCAATCAACTAATCTAAATAAAAACAAGATCGGCCGGGGAGTGCAAATCCTGAATTTTCCGTAACACAATTGTGTTCGAGACCGAATTTTACCCTGAAAAAGCTCAAAATTTACAAAATTACCATGAAAAAAGAGTTAAAGGAAATGACGTAAATTCTTGAGTTAATCTGATCGTGAAAGCTCGAGCTTATCTTTTGGTTGCAAAATCGTTTATCTTCGATAATATTCAATTTTGAAACTTATTTTACTTCAAATTTAACTCAGTATTGAGAAATCTCCAAAATCAGAAAGCAAGACTCATAGGATCGCCGTGCACGGAAAACCGCATAATATGTTAGCATAGTTGCTTTGAATAACGACCATCACGTGACTTAAAATATATATGCTACATAGTTGATGAATGGAACCAAATAGAGGGAGTAGTCCATGTTCTATACAATGCAGAACAGTTTTTTACTTTTATAATACGCAAGCTTTGCCTCGAAGAATCAATGTCAAACTCGAACTGAAGTTAGCTAAAAATTTCAACAATAGCACTGGAAATGCATTGTTCAAAGTAAATGTAATTTCTCGTTATTAACCAATTGAATAATTTTAGCTAGAAGAAAAACTGGCAGCGTTACAGGCGAAAATTCATCCGTCTGGTCGAAATCGTCTCAAAGAAGAGCAAGCAACTATCCGTGCTCTGAAGGAGGTAAAGTAAACATATTGAAGATTTTCGGCTAACTCTGAAAACGGACCCAGTTTAGCATTTGGTGAACATATGATCAGAAGCATATCGATACGAAAAGCTTCTAATTAATTTTCTTCTTTCATTCACTCCTACAGTGTTTCATTTTTATTCATGACATTTTACACAAAAGGGCATATAACTAGATATCCTAACATAGACAAAGCACAACGAAAAAAAATTGTATTTCTCAGTTATTATTAAAATGCCAGATTTCATCTTTTTCGATTATTTTAGAAAAATGTTATATTTTATTATTAATATATTATTATTGATTATCATGGAATAGTTATATTATCATTTTATATTATATATTATTGATTATCATGAAATAATTATTATTATTATATTATGAATAATTATTATGGAATAAATATAAGCGAATATCCCCATAGGAACACGTGGCGCTCGAGAACGAGCTGGAGCGCATGAAGGCGCAGCTGACGGAGGCGCAGACGGTGAGACGACATTACGCGTCCATGACGAGCGCCCTCAGAGGGGAAGCTGCTCTGCACAACACCTCTCTTGACGCCCTCAACACCAGGCTTGCTGATGAGAAACTCGCACTCAAGAAACTACGGGTGAGACTTTGTTCAAATAAAGATGCATTTTAGCGCATTTTCCCATTTCTGGAAAAATATAACTCAGTACTCACTGCAGTGAGTGACAGAGAGCGCATTTTCTCGTCGACGAAAATTTGAGGTTACGGACGGACGGATAGACAGACAGACGGACATGGCAAGCACAATAGTGCATTTTTTCCATAAATGAGAAAATGCGCTAAAAACGGCGCTATTGTGCACGCCATGTCCGTCCGTCCGTGACCTCAAGTTTTCGTCGACGAGAAAATGCGCTCTCTGTCACTCACTGCAGTGAGTACCGAGTAATATTTTTTGCCCTTGTATGGGTCACCCTGACCCAGTTCGGCCAGGCAAAAGGCATATCGGTGCTACCTGCAGGAATTGGGTCATTATTTGGACGATATGGCCCATTCATTTTTGTGAGTGATTCAGCCAAAGACAAACGACAGCTCGGTTCATTTGAATCAAAATTTCTCGATATTTTTTTTGTGGAATGTACCCACGTTGTGTAAATATATATTCCACTGAATATTTGATTAATATTTTACATCAAATGTTAATATTGTGATTAGTTACCGGCTTGACGATATCATTTCCCCGGAATGGCAGAAGCTATTTTTGTAGACAACAATCATCTTCTTTCAGTGTACACAACCATGATGATGTAGGCCAAAAATATTTTCACTTATCCCAACATAACAAATTTTCCTTAGCGAATTTAATTCTAAATGTAAATCCAGAAGAAAAGTCAATATCAACCTCGATCATATCAACCAAAACCCAAATATAATCGTACTTCAAATCATAAGTTACAGGCAGGCGGTAAACAGGACTCGTGTGGCGGTACTTGCTCAATATCTTGTCAGACAGCTTACGATGCTCGTAGAGAGAGGGAGAGGAAAATAAATGAGTATCGGTGAGTACCTTAATAAAGGCAGAGACATGCATTCAAATTTGAAAAATATATGTGTTACTGAAATCTTAAGAGGCTTTTCTGTTTATTAAGTTAACTCGTACCTATGCAAACGAAGTTTTACGAGCCCTCGTTCGTGAAATTCAAGTTCAGGATATAGATAAACTTTAATCCAAGCAAAAACCAATGTGAGCTAAAGAATCACGTTAATCTCATTCAAAAATGTTTATTCTGTCTAATATTAAATAATGCATTATGTGAGTCAAGTATTATTTCTCTAGAATCACGAAATTAATATTATAATTAATTGAGTCACAGCAGTACACAAATGAACAAACTTCGATCATTTCCCAACATCTTGAAATTACATGAGTACGCGAAGATTCATTGGGAACAATTTTTGTATTTTATTTACCGAAATTCAATGAACAGGGAATATACAGGGAATGAACAGGGGCAGGGAATATGAGAGCTATTTAAGATAAGAAATTTTAAGCCAAGGTCCGGATAATCAAATTGTCTAACTGTTGTGTATTATATACGTCTATCATAACCTAAATTTTGGTGTCAACGGATAGGACGGCTTCGCGGTCCGTTCCAATACCATCTGTCTGTTAGTAAATTACAGTGAATTGTGCAATAAACCATTTTTTGCTCTTTCCATGACTGTCAAGCCCCATTAGTCCAAGTATTGTTTCAATAACCATAAAATTGGCCGTTATAATAACGTCAATCATTTAAAAAATGGGCAGGGTGGCCCAATGGTTAAAGTTCAGAGTACCAAGATTGGTGCAGAGAGGCGCGGGTTCGATCCCAGCTCTGTGCGCCAGTTTCTGGACAGAATCGGCGAGAAGGCCGGGCGGTTAAGCAAAGCAAAATTGAAGCAGTGAGTTGCGAGTTAAAGCCCGCAACAAGCTGTGGATGTTCTACAATATTAAGAATCGGCGACAGGCCTACTGCCTAATAAACGCTGAAACCGCTATATTATACATTATAATATTATAAAATATGCACTTTTCGTGGCCGGTGCTGCCACAGTCAGAGGGCTGAAGAGCGCCGCGTGTCACAAATCGCCGTGGGCAACCTCGCCGGCGAGCGTCGCCTGTCGATGTTGAGGTCTCCACAACGGCGCGACTCTACTGACGCCGACGCTGACGACCAAGATGATGTCTGCACCGATATTGACAATGAACTCAACAAATACTTGGCCATCTTCTCGAAAATGAAGGTAGAAGGAACAACCGTGCAATAGTGATGTCAAAACGTCGTCACTTTCTCACTGAATTTAACATGCGATACATGCATGATAACCTCGAAGAAGCCATTTTCTTTCATTTGTCGTGCAAGAACATTGCATTGAACCTCTTCAATTACACCAGAAAAATAAACAAATCTATCCCTAGGCGTGAAGCCACGTTTTGTGACTCACTGCTGTCCAATAATGCGGTTACGTTTTTTGAGCAGGTTTCTAACTTGGTCAAAACAAACCTTATATCTTATTAACATGGTAAAAGCATTGGTGCAATTAAGTAGTCAGCGTTACAACAAAAATATACTTATCGGTATGAGATGTTAAAATAAATAAAATTATATTTATATATGTTCTGTTAACAGATGATCTTGGGCGTGTCGAGTGTAGAGGCGGTGATAGAGCGCATGAGCGGCCAGAGCGCCACGCAAGAACATCTGCAGGAGCTGAGGGAGGCGGCGCTACACGAGCTCAGGGCGGCCGAGGCTCAAAGAGAAGAACTCCAGCAAAACCTGAACAAGCTTAAATATGCCGCTACTGAAGACAACGCCAGGTAAATAACGAACCACTTGAATCAATTTGCAAACCGCGTTGCATCCGAGGTTAGGCGTGTCGAGTGTAGAGGCGGTGATAGAGCGCATGAGCGGCCAGAGCGCCACGCAAGAACATCTGCAGGAGCTGAGGGAGGCGGCGCTACACGAGCTCAGGGCGGCCGAGGCTCAAAGAGAAGAACTCCAGCAAAACCTGAACAAGCTTAAATATGCCGCTACTGAAGACAACGCCAGGTAAATAACGAACCACTTGAATCAATTTGCAAACCGCGTTGCATCCGAGGTTAGACTAGATTAACATTTCAGACATTAGCGGGGTCAATTAAATGAAGAGATTTGAAGCTGTGCCCATACTGTTAAATTTCAACTTTAGGAAATTAAATTTATTTCTAAGAAAAGACACGTCGAATGTGATGACAAAAAGACTAAGCATCAGGCATGTAAAGTTAAAAAAAACAGTACCTATAACATACTGCTGACAGCTTGTACCTGAGTACCTACATACAGCTGTAGCTGACTTCTTTGAATATGCTTATATTCATGAGAAGCAATTAAGCACCATTTGAGTCATCATTGGGTCCTCTCGAAACACCAAGTGGGAGTTTGCAGGAAGAGGCTAGAGCATTTATTACTACTTTTATTTGAAACTTCTCTGTAAATCATTTGCAGGAAACTATCGAATATTAAATCATGGAGTAGATGCATATCTGATTAATTTCGAAATTAATCTCTAAAGAAGTATTTAAACTAACATAAGTGCGTTGCATTCTGCATTTATTTAGGAAGCCTGAGTAGAATAAAAAATCAGGAGCTTTGTTAAACCAAATGATCGAAGGAACAATACTCGTACTTTCAGTTGATGCTTAAAGATATCTTCGTAAACTGTAAGAAAATTATTTCAGTCCAACAAAACAAAGACGAGATTGCCTTCCATACGCAATTCCAGGACTCGTAAGGAAGAAGAGGAACTGAAGAGAGCGGTGGCAGATGTGGAGAAGAAGCTCGTCTCTGCCATGGCTAGTCGTGATGACGCCTTGAAACATCTCGTGGCTGCCAACACTGCACTTGTGCAAGTCGCCGAAAAATTAGAGGCAAGTCTTCGTCGTCAATAGTCATCTATTTTTTCGGGGTATCCACGCTGGGTGGACTCGAACCCACAGGTCAAGAATGACCTTATTTGGGCCTGAGATCGAGTGCAGCTTCGATTAAGTGCTACGATTTCATTCCCTACACACAATCAATGCTACATTACATGATACATAAATTGAATGGGAAAAATATGCTCCATTTCATTCCCAGTACGTTTCGGATTAAACTGGATAATCGTAGACCTGAAACTTTCAATGTAGCTATACTCGTAAGTGGCATCTGCATTCACGTGACGGTTCTTCTCGCTTCGAGTCACCGGCATGTGGAACAGCCTCCCTGATAGCATCGTTGACGCTCCGAGTATGAACGCCTTCAAGAACAGACTAGAGTCACTAGACGAAGCTATGCAGGAACATATGTTCAGTCTTAAAATGCCTATCAAATTACGGACCAGGCAATAAGTCCAGCAGCTATCTCAATCAATCGTCAGTTATGGATCCTCGCACTGAGCATATCCATTATCATAGATTTATAACGAATTTACGCGCAAACGGTATTTAAATAGATCAGAGTATGAAAGTTTCCATTATTTTAGTAGATTTGAAATTTTTCTTTATTCCGCTGTTTGACGGTATTTTATAATCTTATTTTGGACGTGAAATACTTTCTTTTGACACAGGGATTGATGGGCCAGAAAATCGCTCGGAATCCATCACCTGCGCTGCAAGCTGCAACGCTCATCGAATTTTGTTCAAATGGCGCGCGAAATCTCCTGGCCAAGCTCCCTTCGCCCGAGTTGGACGAAAAAACAATCGTGAGTCACCGCTAAAATTTCAGAATCACCCTCTCATGTAGGACGAATACCACTAAATTCTACTCAATAACGAGATACCTAAAAAAACTGTAAGTCTGCCACTAAAGAATATGACGCATACGTTCCTGCCTGCCATGTTAATTGGTCAACACGATAAGTCCAGGCTAGAATTTCATGGAATTGTTTCTGCACGCTATATCCACAGACACAAGGAATTCACTAAATTAAAATTTGATATTCATGACGCGCTTTCATCACTTTAACAAAACATCAAATAAGATAGCTTCACGCATGGTTGAATACTAGTTCAACCATGGCTTCACGTAACTACTGACCTCGGTTCTTTCCAACAGACTGACGAGGATGAGGAAGAAGATTCATTATCGTTGCCTCTGGAAAACCTGCGCATCAGCTTAACAATGACGAATAACACATTGCAACAATCAGCGCCTCAACAAGTCAGTATCTTATAACCCAAATCAAATTTAAACGTTCGTCAAAAATATCAAATAATGCAATCAGTACTATCCGTTTGTTCGTTTTAGTAGCTTTTGTTGTTATCGCTTCAGATCGAGCAAACAATAAGGACTATAAATGAATAAGAAAAATTCGCAGAAGCAATTGAAGTTCGTGACATTTCCTTTCAACATTTCTCCAACTTTATCAGGCTGATGCAATGGCTTTGTCCTCGTTCTAGGTGGAGGAAGAGAGCGGTGATGAAGAGGCAGTCGCACGGAGAGTTCTCAAAAGAGCTTCCCAGCAAGTTGTCGAGGCAAAGTCCAGGAAGAGAAACAAACCAGTCACTACCTCGTTTAAATCCTAAGCTTAACGATGCGCTGTAATATCTTAAGTCAACACCTAAATGCACTGCAGTAGTTCAGCCCAGTGACCACAAGCTTTAAATTACGTTTAACCAGACTTTGATTATTATTAGCAAGCTCAAAGTTATTTTGAGATTGAATAATTTTTCCTTGTCAGGAAACAAAACCACCTATAGAACCAGATTCCATCACCGTCGAACTTGACTCACGTCACGTCAGCATCAAGGAGTCACGAGAATGGGGAGCAATATCCCGCACTTCCATACTGCAAATACCTGAACTTGGTTGCAGTCATTCGTTACGATCACTAATCGAGTGAGAATCGTTACGTTGGTCCCACTGCAATATTTATTTCGAGAGCGCTCAGATTCGTCTGTCCAGAGATCATATTCACAACTTTGGACCGAGCAAGTGCAGAAATTAGTCAACCGCTCACGCTACGGACGCAGAATTCTTCATAGTATCCATTTAGTTAATGTAATTATTGCTAACTCCTAACTGTATGAACTATACGACAAAGTCAGTAAGTAATGGGCGCAAAAACACCTAGCAGAGTTTTGCTGTGAAGGAACAAACACGAAACAACAGATCACGATCAGAAGTTTATTACTTCTTGCCAATGACATTGGCTTCCTCAGCAGCCTCACGAGCCTTCTTGGCACGCATGCCCCACTTATTGGCGGTTGAACGGGCCTGCAAAAAAAAAATAAACAGAATAGATCATTACATTTAAAAAGCGAACCAGCCTGCTTTGTTCAAAAGTGTAATTTATACAATACCAAGGATACTGTACAACGATAACAATTACGGTTACAAACTATTTAGAAAATTTACGACGTCTCACTCGAATCTAAATTTACCGAATAAAATTGTCATTGGATAAAGTCATACATCCAGAGGCTTTCTTGAATCGAAATTGGCAATAATTCATGTACGAACAGAAAAAAGTGCCAAGCTGCTTGTGTTCGAGTTGTTTCGACAAATAAAAACGAATCATCTTAATGAAAAATAAAAATTAATCCTCCTAGAGCGAATTACGACTAGTAAGCACATAATGTTTCCGAAACCATTAAAATGTTCGTCAAAAAATTCATTTGCATATAGCTTCAGGAACTCGGTAAATAGGTACTGATGAACAATGAACTTACATCCACAAGGATGGAGTAAATATCAGCCTTGCGTATCTTGGGATCGATAACTTGAGGAGGATCCAAGGTAAACTTCAGTTTCTGCAGAGGCATAATACGCTTGCCAGCGAGCTGAGTGGCCATCTTGCACTCTTCAGCACTGGCTTCTCCCTTCTTCACCTTCTTGGGGTTCTTGGGGAACAGGATGAGCTTGCTCTTGTAAACACGGAGGCGGCGAATGTTAGCCTGGAGCAGAGAACATCGTCAATCCTGGGCATGTATACTTGGGAATTATAAGATCTACTCAAATCATGATACAACCATTTTCAGCCCTAGCAAGAATTAGGCTCTGTACTTGTTTTAGACAACCATTTAAAAATTAGGTAAAATTCTAAGGTATAAATATTAATCAAAATTTGAGTTTTTCTTGTCTTTGAATTTCATTATAAAATGAGTAAGAAAGGGTGAAAGTTTCTCTGTGTAAAAAAGCTGAAAGGCGTTATAATTCAGTTCACATATATACACACACCATACCATATATACACACACACTAACTAAATCAGACATGATGGAAGATGATTTTCAAGATTAGATTTGTATTTACGGACTCCAGCTTTGATAGCAGCAACCAAATTGGATATACATAAAATTCATTCAAAATCATTGTCTCTCTGGTTCTTTTTTGCAGTCATAAGCTTATGTCTCCTTTTTTCATTTTCAATTATTATTTACTTATATCAAACATTTTATTCAATAATGTCTTCAACTGGTCGCTGCTTGTGACAAATATAACGCTAAAATATTAATTTTAAACGGTTTTCACACTGTCAACTTTTGATAAGTTGGGACAACAACGCTATCACGGTCAAAATCAACAGGTCTCTTTTCATAAAATTCATATAATTGAAATGATATCCAAATAGGATTGATTCTCCTAAAATTAATTCTTTATAAATAAATAGAGTTGAATATCAGTTCAATAGGTCATTAAGGCAGCTAAAATAATTCACCACCAGCAATAAGAAGAAAGGAGATCGTGGTCACCACTGACCTGCATGGCCTCATGGGATTTGCTGCGACGTCTGTGGTCAACAGCGATGCCGATAGACTTGGCCTCAGTGCGAGAGATCTTGGCCATCTGCATCAATTAAGTAAGTTGTAAGCACATGAATGGGGCAATCTCATTAGAAAACGTTACATAACTATACACAATTCAAAATACTTTCAAGAATACATTAGAATTATAAATAATTTATTACAAAAAATTGCAAACAACACTGGAAGTTATTTTTAGCATACAATAAATTAAGGCTAAGATATATCTATGACCTACTCTTAGTTCATGGAGAGTGAAACCACGTCCCAGTCTAGTGATCCTGTTGTGTCTGTCAACAGAATTGGCACAAATTAAGAGACGGATATAAGAAACTCTTTGATGGGCATTGCTTCCACCAATTGGAAATTTGAAGAATTAATAAATATTCTCTCATGAAAGTGAGCATGTAGTCTTCCTTCCTAGCAACATAACAAATTTAAATTTAATGTCAAACCAAGAAACTATCATTTTCCCAAAAACAAATAACAGGCTTAGATTAGGCCAAAACTAAGAAAAGAAGCAAAAAACATACTTTTTGGTAGGGCATCTGACAACAGGCCTGAGGCGACCAAGAGGCCTAGGAGCAATACGGTGAGCCTTGGCCACACGGTTGGCATGACGACGCTGGGCACGGAAAGGCTGCTTGAACCAGGTCTTGATCATTTTTTGCCAGTCTTTGCGCAAATGCGCATTGGGAATCATACCGTTCCGATGAGCCGGCATTTTGGCGGTGTTGTTTTCTGACTACACAACTGGAAATGAAATTAAAAATTTTATTAATCAAGACACATAGAATACATAACATGCATCAGCAATATGATGTTGGGTACTGGTATTATAATTAAAATTACAAGATTCAGACTCTCTAAACTGAAGTCAATTCGAGCCCACTGTAGAACAGGTTACCACATTTGGATTGGAACCCTAAAAGCTTTACCATGTATATACAGGTTTTACACAAGAAAAATGAATGTTAAACAAGGACCGCATACTTGTCAACCACCAATTTACAGGATATAGAAAACATTTAAATTAAACCTAAAATTGAGCCCAAAGTATTGGGCATAAGCTGCCAGTAAACAAGTCATTACAGCACCTGAGATTGGACAAAAATTTATAGTAGTTACAGGCAAAAATGATCAATTCAAGTGTGATTTAGAATAATTGCAGGCAAAAATGGATCCATTTTGTTTGTGCTAGTGAAAGGTATTAGCCAAAGACCATGTAAATGTATGAAAATGTCCAAAAACACTGTTGACTTTTTTCTCATTTTTTCATTTATGGAAAAAATGCACTATTGTGCTCGCCATGTCCATCCGTGACTTCATGTTTTTGTTGATGAGAAAATGTGCACTCTGTCATCCACTGCAGTGAGTACTGAGTACTTTCATTCTTTACTGGTGGCTCCAGCCTGATTATCCAGTTAGGATAAAAGACTGGCAACCAAAGTAATGATGACAACTCAAGTGGCATTGGTATCAGGTTGCAAGATTATAAATTTCCTCTTTTATACTTCTTATGGCTATAGTGACATTTTTGATATTTTCTTAATCTTGCAACTTTATCATGAAATTGTGTTAACAATTAAACGTCTTATTAATATTCTGCCCAAATTTCCAAATGGGTTTTAATGCTAAGCCAATAATCAACTTCTTACTACAGTATATGCAGTTGATTCTGCTCAAAAGAAAAATCATAGTGGCAAACCCATTTAATATCTAATTTCCCAATCTACTACAAGATTTTATTATTTTCAGGGGACATTGATCATGGCAGACTAAGTGGAAAGTTGGGCAGAAGCCAACCGTGGAGCAGCCAAAAGGCCTGTGAATCTGGCCAATTTCACCCGTTCCTACACCCCTTTCTCAGATTCTTTGGCGAAAAATAAAAAAAAATGGTAAATTTTCACCCTCACTTTTAATATATCACCTGTGGAACAATCATTTTTACCTGCAATTTTAGGAAACTACTGCACAATATTCCAAATAGGCCTGGCACAATTGGAATTTTCCTACTTACTACTAAAATTGTGCAACTCCAGTGACATTTGGAGAAGCAAAATAACCTATTTTTTAAATCAATTTCTATTATTATTTCAATACATCATGGTGTGGAATTTTTTCAATATGATTTCAATTATCGTTCCAATAAATCATAGTGTGGAATTTTCAAATCTCAGCTTTTGGCATTTCTGGGTGAATGGACTACGACGAATTTAGGACTACAACGTCCTAAACTCATCATAAGGTCATCATGCATGTTCATCTCCACTCTCTTGACTGATCAATTGGCAAGATGGGAGTAATTCTCAATTTTTCACCAATAATTTTCTAAAATTGCACTGCTAAATAATCTTCCATAATAATACAGAGAATGTAAAATAATTTGCTTCTGGTGCACAATGCAGTTGACTTTTGTCCAACTATGCGGACAAGTCAATATTGGGTACTGGGCTAACTGGCTCCAGAGATTTGTTTTTATGCAGTTCGGAGCATAAACTTCATTTTCTTATCGTCCTATGTCATCATTACGCCATGCCAGCGTCATGATCATTCTTGACCAACCATGGGCAGACAGGAACCCTAAATCCTACCTGCCTCCAGCTGCAATCAGGATTGGAATTTTCCTACTTGTTTCAGAAATCTGTGGCTCCAACGTGACAAATTTATAATACATTTTGAATCTCGTGGCCTGATTGTGCAATTCTGTTAACAATTAGATAGGAGTTTATTTATCTGGTGGAAATCTCATGGTTCCAGAAATGGGGGGATAGCTCTAGTCACGGCTATAAAGGTGGACGTTTTCCACCCTTGGCTCAGTTTGCTGCAATGTATTGGACCCTACTGCCTGGTCAATACAGCCACTTTTTAAAAACCCAATCAAAGTTGATGCAACAACTAGAGCCTTAGAGGAGAAGCAGATTACAAGATTTCAAGTAATTAAGTTAAAGTGTTTGTTTAACCCCAAATGATCGTATATTTGCAGATTGGTCATTGCTATTCTTGTCAAAGTTTAGTGTAACTTAATACATTGATACATTTAAAATAAAATAATAAAGAAGTTTGATTGTGTAAAACCTTATGGGAATGGGATTGTGATGTAATCTACTAGAGATAGTGGCCGTGTCCCACTGTCTCTTTATAAAATGCATGTTTAGTGGTTAGCTAATTTAATGCCCTTTTAGAATTCTACACTGGAAGTGAATACTATATATTCTCAATTTTTTTCAACATTTTATTCTCAATACTTTTGGAATCTTGCAGCCTGATTATATAATATATACTTCAGTTAATAATTACGTGAGAGATAATTCATCTACAGGAAATTTGTGGTTTGAAAATTGGCAAGAAAAATTTTTGTTGCAAGACCAGTATGAAAAATATCTACCCTTAGCCTTAGTGCCGCAATCACAGCCTTTCTGTCATTTTAGGAATAGCATGATTCCCACTAAAGGAATCACCTCCAACCTTATTGTTAAAAAAGTGCACAATGGGCTGCAAGATTAAAATGCATTGAAAATTTGCCACTTTTCAGCAGCAAAATTTTATAAACAAGAAAAAATTTCAATCCTGTTTCAAGATAAATATATTCCACACCAGGGTGCTGGTAGCCTATTCATAATAGCCTAGCTAGTGAGTAGTGATCATAGCTGAAAACCTGAGATTTTTTAGAATCAGTTCATTTTTAATTTCCACATTTACTCGAGATTTGAACCAATATCTTATGTAGGTACGATAATGCTAGTATGCATGGTCAGAACTCAAATTTACTCAACACAATAAAGTCGTAAAAATGTAGGGTAAACGCACCATATTCCAACACATTAAGGACATACCAAGAAATGAATGGCTCTAAAAAGATAAGCATATGCGCAACTTGAGTTCTGATTGCTTTAGGTCACTCTTAAAACACCACACTACGCACCAGCAACAATGAAACGTCACAAACTGTTGCCATATTTATTTAAAGGCCTTCAGAATTCGAATTACAAAATCCCTGAATTCCGATGCTCTGTGTGACTAAATTCAGCATATTGTGAGACTAGTTCCAACAGCGCTTCAAACTCTTTCTAAATCGTAATTCTGACGTCCTGACGGGATTGTGTTGGAATTCCAACGCCCTGTGTGAGCTGTATCAGAATACGACACAGCTCAGAACAAGCTTAATTATAATTTCTTAATTAAAAAATTTTAATTTCTTAACTAAGCTTTTAATCAAGAGCTATAAAGTTTTTAATTAAGAAAATTTTAAATTTTGAACACAGCTCGTAATGAGCTGTGTGTGTGTCCAATTCCAAGCTGTGTTGGAATTAGTTTTTATGTGTCTAAAACCATCTCATAACTTAATCATCTATTAATTTATTTACCACTTAAAATCAGCAAATACAGGTATACTTAAAGGATTTCTAATATAGGCCTATTCACAGACTTATTTAAAAGTCTCAAACCATAATATTCTTTCTACACAAACAGTTTATCACTATTTGGTAGAGCAAGGTCAAGTGGTCAACCATCAACTTTGACACATGTTTACATGTTTCGATGTTCTCACTAGTTGACTTGGACTTTCACTCTGAGAATCTTAACATTTTCCTGCCAGACCTAGTTTTTTGCAGGAATGTGGCACGCAATAGTATGACGTCACTATTTCAACCATCTACGCATGCACGGAAGTAAGACAAAGCTCAATATAAAGGAATAAGTTGAGAAGTATCGGAATTACCCACAATGTTGGAATATGGTGTTATTGGTGCGTTTAGCCGTTTACCCTACAAACCCTAGGTAGGTATTTGCTACTATGAATTATTGGCAAATCCTGTCATACTGTAATTGGCATTAGGCTAGTCATTAGGGAATAGGGCCCAAAGGCCAATGCAAGCAAGGCATCCATGGTTCAATCAATTGTCAATAATTCAATGTCTCCTCAGTCTCAGTCATGACATACCTACTAGGCTACCACTGTGCAGAGAGTGGATGAATATTGCAAGGTCTTTGGTGACACTTCAGTAGCAAAATTTACCTACCTATGCCTTCAGAAGATCTTGCCAACACATTTAGATTGAAATTCTTGCATTTAATACATTTGTCAGTCTTTGGCCAACTATTTAAAAAAAAACTTAAAAAAGTAAGGTTTCCGATGTTGGATGGATCATGATGCAGTGAAGCTTGTCCTGAAATCAGTTGCAATGAGTTCCCGCCCAAAAAATGTAAACATCAAGCTTACGATTACGTAGTTGCAGTCACAATAGAGCGGTCAGACTGCATTATCACATGTTCAGTTGACACTTGCTGTACAATAGGACTGTTTATAGGGTAAAATTAGTTATTTGGGGTAACACGTGCATGCAACCTTGTAAATAAGTTTGTGGCTTGTAAAAAGTTTTTCATCACTCAGCGTAAATGGCTTTTCATTAAAAATTACCCGGCAACGCATCTTAAAATTACCTGGCAACACTTAGGGCTTAAAAACCCATATATTGGCAATGATGCATCCACCCTCTGCGTTTGCGCCCTGGCTAGGCTACTCAACAAGTAGCAATGCATATATATTAGTTAAATTGTAATTTTCTTTACAAATTAAGCTAATATCCATGGATTGACCAGCAAACAAAGGCAATAAAACTATGTAGGTAGCTAGCTAGACTGAGCTGTGAGTCAGCTGGCGCAAATTTGAGTAGATGAAACTACATTTATAGGATCCCAACTTGCGCACTGCAATATGATGTATCAAATGTATGCATAATTCGTCATTATAATGGATAATGCCAATCCATTTAAAATTTCCCAAGAAATTAAAAAGCGACTGGGGAAAAAATCCGGTACAGCACCCTACGGAAAGACGTTTCAACGGTAGGACAGCCTACGATTTAATCAGAATTTTCTTTGATACAGAATAAATTATCACACGCATAAAATTATCACAAGATATATAACGAAGAACATTGCCGGGCTCCATAATAAAACAAATTAATAAATAGTAATTCTATTCACACAACTCACACAATAACAGTCCCTTAACCAAGAACTTCTAAACACGCGATGTTGCCAGAAGCACTCAAACTAGAAATGGTCATTCATTCACGCGTGCAAGTCTGGCTTAGATGAATATTATAATGCAATAGAAAATATGAAGTTCGAAAAATTATAGCAAAACTTTTTTCAAACCTTCTCACTGATTAATTTACTGCATTTCTATCGCGTTTTAGTAACACTTAAACAAAAATTTGCCGAAATGATCGAAAATCTTCGTTGAATAATACTTTTTATTTTGTTGATAATATTGAGCACTCATTCCTGTTCTTGAATTAAATTGAGCACAAAATTCTTTTACATATTTTGAAATATCTTGAAATTAGTTTTGACTCAGCACCTAAATTACTGAAATATATTAAATTGATCAATATGTCGCTAATTAAAAGAAAGTAAAATCGCTTGAAGGGCTGACATAGGAATTCGGGAATTTATTGCAGGTCTCTATAAAAAAAAAAATGAAACGCAGATTCAGTAAAGTGGGAGGTAATTTTTACTCATCTTATTACTATGATTTAAGTAGTGGTTTGCTGAAATGCCATGTCAACAATCTCTCATTTACCGTGGCATCGATCTCACTTTACAATTTTCTCAACACCAGCAACACTTTGAAAATTTCAATCACAAAATATTAGAGGATTGAATAAGTGTTATTCTTACAGCAGATTCAGATTTTCGATGTTACAAATAAAAAATAATATATCTAACCAACCAGGGATAAATAGATTCAATTTATTAATGTATTTCTTAGTAAACTCACTGCTTACTAATTTTTCCGATTCAGACAATGATAACCCTATTTAATAACAATTAAATAAATTACAACACTCATAATATGATGAATTTTGTTTACAAAGTGAATGCGTTGTCAGTCGATTAAAATCATAATATAGAATAAAAATTAAAAAATCAACTTTAAATGCAATTTCACATCCAAAAATATAATATTATGATTGTGCATCATCAATCATGATGTTAAACAAATAGAATAAGGTTAAACATTAAAGCTACATGCTTAGCTAGGCACTCATAACGAACTAATAGCTGTTTCTGTACACTCAAAATCTCAAATAGACTCAATGCGCGAATATACAGCAGATATTGAACTATATACTAAGCAACACCAATAGGTGAGTCAGGGCCCCAATGGTGAAGATGAGCGATACAGTGGTGATGACAATTCAAATGATGGCAATTCAGCTGAGTTTAAGGACAATATTGAGGGACTGAGAGTCGTTGAGTTTGAGAACATCACAATGTGAATGCTGATTCAGTCTAGGTGGAAAATTTTTTTCGACAAATTGAGTCTGATGTATCGATGTTGCCAACACAAAACTGTTACAGTTACATAAAAATTTGCCGAAAGAAAACTCTGTAAATATGAAAATGAATTCCGCTCTAAAATTGGAGGCTGACCCGCAGCATGCGCTGATGGAAGTCTATTGTGCACGTCGCACAGAGAACAGTCGCAGGCAGATGGCTTCCCATCTTTGGTGGTATGTTAACATGAGTGATTCTTGGTAATCTTGGTACTTGTTTGGGACATAGCAGTCCCAGGCCACGATGGATCGCCGCCTCTGATTATCGTTCATCCGCCCTCATTTGGGCCACCTGATGCACGATGCTGTTGCTTGCTTCTCGCCGCTGGTAGTGTTGCAGGGGAGGTCGATCTGGGATTGTGCCCAGGATGATTTAGGTCACTTAAGACCACGAAATGTTAAGTTAGAACCATCCACGCATATGCTGATTGTTATTAACTGACGACAAGTTTAAGAGTTGCGGCGCTTCCTCGACAAGGTCAGTATTAATTTCTCACCTACAGGCATGCCTCACAATTTAAATTTTTATATTAGATTGGCAGAAATTAACATTGATTTACCGGATTATAAACCTATATTTTTGAAACTACTTGTTGATTCCAAATGCATATAATATCGTATGTCACAAAACCAACAGAGTTAGTCTTATTCGACGATTTAGCCACAGTTGGCCACGATAAGTTCCAATGAAAGGAAGTCAAGTGACGAGTGTGGCAATTTGAACGCAGGCTGCGCGCACTACTGCTGCCAATTCTGTATCTTGCACCAAACTTATTATTATTATTATAAACAAATTACAACTTTTCATTCGGATTTAAATAACATATGTTGTTGGGCATCGCACGCTATGTATAATTTTTGTCTAACATCTAGAAACACACACTAATCTGACTCAAAAACTAACGTTGCTGTTTTTATTTCATATAACAAATAAATTACAAATAAACGTAGATAATTATCAACTATTACAAATCATCGCGCAGTGCTGCTGAAGGATATCGCATCAATAGGAATGCCCCGCTCCTGCCACTCGTATGATCGTCCTGCTTCTGACGGTGGCACGGACGAGTGATGCATTGGGCCTCCTCCCATGGGCCCAGGGTGAACGGCGGGCCCAGGAGGCAGCATTATGATGGAACCTGGACCCGCGGGGCCCATGTGACCAGGCCCAGGGGAGTCCAATAATCTGAAGTGTGGTTGTTGCTTCCGCAGTTTCTTCTTGTACCTGGAAAATGAAGTTTGGAAACATAGAAAATAACAAGAATTAAAAATAAATGCTTTTATTCGTTTCATGCACCCAAACTCTTCAAACTACATCTTCGAAAAAAGAAACATAATAAAAGGAAACTGTTTGTAATTTAAGGAATAATTAATTTATCAGTTATTTTTACACGAATGAAAGGCGATTAACGATGGTCTGCAACAATGTTAGTTCTCTTTAGAATATTTTTTTAGAAATGCTCTTAGACATTAAATTTTGTTGCAGGCAACTCACGTGGAGTAGAGGCAGCAGACGGTACAGGCGGCTATAGACAGACGACTCACCTGGAGTAGAGGCAGCAGACGGTACAGGCGGCTATGGCAGCACCCACGCCTATGAGCGCGGCCAGCAGCAGCACCCAGACCTCCACCCAGTCCGCCGCCCCCGCGCGACTCAACGAGCGAGCCACGCAACGCTGTTCATATTCAGATCAATATTACAATTATTAATGAAATAGATGGGGAAAACATTATAACGAGCGACAAATATTACAATTATTAATGAATTAGGAGCAAAAAAAAACATTATATTCAGACCAATATTACAATTATTAATGAAATAGATGGGAAAAACATTATAATGAGACAGGAATATTACAATTATTAATGAAATAGATGGGATGAATATTATAATGAGACAGGAATATTACAATTATTAATGAAATAGATGGGAAAAATATTATAATGAGCTACGAATATTACAATTATTAATGAATTAGACGGGGAAAATATTATATCTTAATGAATTAGGTGGAAAAAATATTTAAATGATACAATGGGATATAAACGGGGACCGAAACACGAGATGCTGACAAAAAGAACCCGGATATTCAAGCCTAAAGATTAAATGGAAATAAATTGCATGTGAAAAAACACTCGGTTTATGAGCGAGCCACGCACCGCTGTTGATATTCATACGAATATTCTAATTCTGAATGAATTAAATGGGAAAAATAGTATAATGAGCCAATGGGATATAAACGGGGACCGAAACACGAGATGCTGACAAAAAGAACCCGGATATTCAAGCCTAAAGATTAAATGGAAATAAATTGCATGTGAAAAAACACTCGGTTTATGAGCGAGCCACGCACCGCTGTTGATATTCATACGAATATTCTAATTCTGAATGAATTAAATGGGAAAAATAGTATAATGAGCCAATGGGATATAAACGGGGACCGAAACACGAGATGCTGACAAAAAGAACCCGGATATTCAAGCCTAAAGATTAAATGGAAATAAATTGCATGTGAAAAAACACTCGGTTTATGAGCGAGCCACGCACCGCTGTTGATATTCATACGAATATTCTAATTCTGAATGAATTAAATGGGAAAAATAGTATAATGAGCCAATGGGATATAAACGGGGACCGAAACATGAGATGCCGACAAAAAGGAGCACCAAAAATTCCGGGTAATCAAACTTCCAGATTAAATAGAAAAAATTTTCGTGTGAAAGAGCAGTAGGTCGGTTCAAGAGCTAGTCACTCAAAGCTGAGTAAAGCCAATAAAAATAGCAAAAAATATTCGATGGAATATAAGAATATAAGGCTTTTGTTGAATACTCCTGATCAAGCTTCAATGAATTCGAGCGTATCAACGCACGAATTTGGACTCATTCTAAATGTGAACACTGACGAGCCAAATTGAAACATAAACTTGAGACTTCGTCGAGACTTCGTCGAAAGAGTGATGCACATTTTGTGGGTCATAGTGACCCGTTTAGGTCCGACAAAAGGACGTATCAATGCTACGCAAATTAACTGGACAATATGCCACATTAGTTCGGACAATACTAAATTCTGGGTCAATATTTGGACAATTCAATATTACAATTATTAATGAAATAGATGGGGAAAATATTATATTGAGCCACGAATATTACAATTCTTAATGAATTAGGTACAAAAAAATATTATAATGAGCCAATGGGATATCAACAGGAACTGAAAGACGAGATGCTGACAAAAAAAAAAAAAGCAACAGTTATTACAATTCTTAGGGAATTAATTGGAAAATATATTATATTGAGACAATGGCATATAAACGGGGACCAAAAAACGCGATGCTGACAAAAAGAACCCTTGTTATCAAGCCTCCAGAATAAATGGAAACAATTTTCATGTGAAAGGGCACTCAACGCTGATTAAAGCCAATAAAAATAGCAAAAACATTCAATGGAATATAAGAATATAAGGCCGTTGTTGAAAATTCCTGATCAAGCTTTAATGAATTCGAGCGTATCAACGCTCGAATTTGGGTTCATTCTAAATGTGAACACCGATTAGCCCAATTGAAACATAAACTTTGAGAAATGAGAGGTTTTGTCCAAAGAGTGATGCACATTTTGCCCTCGTGTGAGTCATAGTGACCCGTTTTGGTTAGGGATAAGGGCGTATCAATGCAACGCGAATTAACTGGACAATATGCCACATTAATTCGGACAAATGCCACATTAATTCGGACAATACTAAATTCTGGGTCAATATTTGGACAATCTAACCCATAAATTTTTCTGAGAGTAACATGCGTACGAAGCGGCAATACATTCACCGTATAACTTCCTTACCTCAACTTTCGCAACTCCGTATTTCGCGAAGACTTCTTTGAGGCGAGAGTTGCCCTCGGCATCCATGAGCACTTGCGTGTCTTGGCGGTTGCGGTCTTCCAGTTGGAAACACGAACTGTAAACAAGCTCGGTCACCAACACGAGTAAATAAAACAAGCTCGGTCACAAACACGAACTGTAAACAAGCTCGGTCACAAACATGAGTATATAAAACAAGATTTCTAGATTGTTATGATTGGACAAATGTTCTTCTACACGACATGTACATAACTATGGTTCATCACTTAACAGACACGAGTATTGAAACAGCTTATAAATGACAAATGTTTTTACGTTACAGTTACATTTCTCTTTTACGAGAAATGTAACTATGGTTCCTTAATTCACGAATAAAGCTGAAATAATGTTGAGAATGAACGAATAGGATTTCTTCTTCCTTGCGACATATAGTCGCATATTTCATTGAATTGTACATTTTAAAGTTAGTTTATTCGATGAGAATATCAGAGTTGGAGTTAATACCAGTTGCAAAATTAATTCTTTAATCAAACAATACCAGTGATAACAATGACCATACATTGATCTCAACAATAACTAAATATAATGACCAATTATAACGGACGAAATAGAATAGAATAGAAGTATCGGCATTGAAGAAAATATGCCCATAGCCTGTTGCCGATTCTTGAATGTTTTACCGCAATCGGCACCGAAATTTTACCGAAATAACCGCAGCTGATCAAAGGGAGCCAATAACTAACATAATCTAATAAAAATAATAAAAAATGAAATTGATGAAATTATAAGCCATAAAAAAATTCGGTCACGGACCTTGTTTTGGAGAAGTCAGTGGCGCCGTTCAGGACATAATCCGGTATAAATACAAAAAATAAAATGAATAAAATTACAGGCCAATAAAAAAAATTCTGTCACAGACCCTGTCTTGGAGAAGGACATCTAGAGGACATACCGGATCTAGAGGACATAATCCGGTATAAATAATAAAAGTAAAATTAATAAAATTACTAATGTCTTCAGCTTGGGCCTGATCTCCCCGGGGGGCGTGTTGAACACAAAGCGCATCAGGTCAGAGTCTCGCACCACCACCACCTGACAACATTTCCATAGAGTTAAAACCATGAAAAAACGATGCTGGAAATAAGGTATCATAACCTAAATTGGCGAAATAGGAGGACAAGAGAAAGTATGTAACTTAAATATATTATGAAAAAGAGGAGATTTTACCATAACAGTGTCGTAGACAGGCTGTTACTCATATGGTGGCATAGAAATTGGACCTTAATAGTGACGTACAGGGGTTAATAAATAAATGAAAAACCTGAGAAATGCACATAATATATTTTAGTATGGTGTAGGTCCACCTTTTACGGCAATTACCACCTACCTCAATTCTCCGTGGTATTGATTCATACAAATTATGAATTGTTTTCAAATGAATTTTAACCTATTCTTCAGTTAAAATCTTAATATTGTTAATTATAGCAAAGCAGGGGACCTTAACGATGGCTGGTGCAGTAGCACAGACATTGATTGCTTGCTGTAGGGGCATAGGCATAATACATTAATAGTTGCATAGATAGGCTGCTACGTCAGAGCAAAACACTTTTGGAAAAATAAGTTGCCGAAAATTTGTAGAGAAAAAATGGGATAAGTAACCTTAATATTTTAACTAATAGCAATAATAAGAGACCTTAATAGTGGCAAAGACAGGCTGATACTTCAATGCGAAATAATATTGGAAACATAAGTTGTCGAAAAGCTGTAGAGAGAATAAGAGATAAGTAACCTCAATATTAAAAATACTAGCAATAATAAGAGACCTTATAATAGTGGCATAGCAGGCTGATACGTCAATGCGAAATACTATTGGAAACAAATGTTGCCGAAAAGTGGTAGAGAAAATAAGAGATAAGTAACCTGAATATTATAAATAATAGCAATAATAAGAGACCTTAATAGTGGCAAAGACAGGCTGCTGCTGAGGCTCGCTGACGGCGGTGACGATGATGGTGAAGGTGCCGTGCGTGTAGCGCGTGAGGGGCGCGTGTGTCAGGAGACGCCCTGTGTTCTCCTCCAGCAGGAATGCCCCGCTGGTCTCCATCACCCCCGAGGGCAGCAGCGGGTACGACGCCGACGAGTGCTCGAACGTCATGTTGTGGATGCCGTATCTGCATACGGTGATCAATTTTTTTTAACAGCAAATCGAAAAATATTCGAGATTTTTGAGTAAGTATGAACTAACGCGAAATTTCCATTGAAATTTTATTGTGTGCAAGGTGTTCGACCGTCATGTTGTGGATGCCGTATCTAAATACGGTGAACAAATTTTTTTTAATAGCGAGTCGAGAAAAATTCGAGATTTTTGGGTAAATATGAACTACCGTGAAATTTCCATTGAACTTTTTATTGTGTTCAAGGGAGTGTTCGAACGTCATGTTGTGAACGCCGTGTCTACCTACATACGGCGAACAATTTTTTCTTTAAATAGCAAGTCGAGAAACATTCGAGATATTCTGGGTAAATATTAACTAAGGCGAAAATTTCATTGAAATTTTATTGTGTTCAAGAGAGTGCTCGAACGTCATGTTGTGGATACCATATCTACATACGGCGAAGAATTATTTTAAACAAAAAGTCGAGAAACTTTCGAGATTTTTGGGTAAATATTAACTAACTAAGGCGAAATTGTCATTGACATTTTATTGTGTTGAAGAGTGTTCGACCGTCATGTTTTATATGCCGTATTTGGACATTTTTTAGTGGCAAGTCGTGATAAATTCGAAATATAAACAAATTAGCGGAATTTTATTCAGTAACATTATCGTGTTGAAGATCAATTGAGCGCGGTTTCCACAAACTGCGCTAGTTAGTCTCTTAATAAAACGAACTGAGCTGAAATAACAGGAATTTGCTAGCAAGGTTAATGGAAATTAAGAATGAAATTATTGGATTAAATTACGACTCTCTTTCCACAAAAATTCTTGAATTAACCGCCCACTTTATAGTTTATTGGAGGCCTCATGATGAATATAGAAGGCGTTCCACTACGCATTATTTCCAAACAAAAATTAAAAGCATCTAAACTGCACCGCCTGATTTAAACAGCGTGTGGTGTTAAAACAATTGCACAGACTTTTATTCAACTTGACAATATTAATAAAATGTCCTCCTCGCGACAGCTACCAGATAACATCTATAGTTGCCTGCTCCGATCTGTTCCCGTTCAAAATGTATTGTGGAACTCTGTGAAAGTGTCGTGTAATTAATCCTGCGGTATTTCTTGTCAGTAACACGGGTAGTGACACAGTGAATTGCATTTTTCGACCTTTTTTCCTCTCTGTTATACAATAACTGGCTTTTGCCCCCAAATCGAGTCTGTTCAACTGCTTTTTTGTCTGTTGCCAACTGTGATGGCTAGCGATACGGAAAGTGATACGAGGTCTACCTGTTCCGATGCGTCCATTTGTGCCGGTAGTGTTTCGATGCGTGAGGACCTGGAAAAAGTCAGCCAAATGCTGTCGTTCCTTAAAAATTTCAGTCCTGAAAAAAGGAAAGCTGGTAGACCTTCGAAGTCGTCGAACGGGGCTGCGGCTAATACTCTGAATCTAGACAAGNCTGTACTGCAGGCGGGAAGGCAGGCGACTACCAAGTTTGCCACAGGCGATAGTCAGTGTGAAAGAACTCATCTGCTCGAATAATTATAATAATCAGACGAAATATATATAATAACTATTATTAATAAAAGTAATTATAATTACCATAATTATAATCTATATCATCGGATGGATCTAGATAATATCAGCCATCAAAGGAATATTTAAAATGCCTTCTACATTCTTAGAACAGAATGCTGTGCTAATATCAATATTGTATAAATATAACATAAACATAAAACATTTTAAACAAACATTTTTTATTATAACTTATATGATGCTTGCATTAATACAAGCCAGGCCAAATTCTTCTTCACTTCATCGAATTGCATTTCGGCTCTCCTTCAATTAAAGAATTAATACATATTTAAACTGTTCTCAATACAATATTTAGTCCCACATGGGTCCTAGCCAAAAAATTAGCCAATTTTCGAGTCGTTTCAATGGCGGATATGTTTTTCCAAATTGTATTAATCCATTCAAAAAACTATTTTGTCATCTCTACATGGTCAGGTCTTAAAACGCTCATCTTGGTCACAAAACGCATGGTCCCAAATACACTGTTTTAAAAATTTTTACTTATTTATTCAAAAAACTTCTTTGTTATCGCTCACCTTCTCGCGGTCAATCCTCCTCCTGACGATGAGACGAGCTGTGTTGTTGTCGGTCCTCTCAAGCGACACCAGCCCTTCGTCGTTCCCGTCTGCAATTTCAAACCAATTTAATTTCAAACCAATTTAATTGAAATATTTTTTAGTGTTTAATAACAGTAATATCCAAGCCCCTCGTTACTGTCTGCAATATCAAACCAATTTAATTTAAATANCCTGTCAGTGGCAGCCACCTCCCCCACCACCGTGCCTGGGGCGGCCTCCTCCTCCACCTGCAGCTCCACTACACGCTGTCGTGTCGTAATATACGATATACGATACAATGTGTCGTGAGATACAATACCATGTGTCGTAAGATACAATACCATGTGTCGTAAAATACAATACAATGTGTCGTAAAATACGATATACAGTACAATGTGTCGTAAAATACGATGTACAATACAATGTGTCGTAAAATATGATATACGATACAGTGTGTCGTGAAATACAATACAATGTGTCGTAAAATACAATACAATGTGTCGTAAAATACAATATACAATACAATGTGTCGTAAATAGGATATACAGTACAATGTGTTGTAATATGCGATATACAATACAGTGTGTCGAAAAATACAATATACAATTCAATGTGTCGTAAAATACGATATACAATACAGTGTATCGTAAAAGACGACTACATTGGGGCATTTTTATAACCATTTCTTTACACTCCCAACGTCGTAATAAAAAATCGTTACAAAAAGCATGGTGGACCCGAAACTTAGGAAAAAATTCACCTAATTATATCAAAATAAAGGTCTCATTCACGGGACACACAAATATCATCTTGCAACCTAAGTTTCATTCACTGGACAAACTCTCATTTTAAAATCAAAGTCTTAGTCACGGATCTTAGTTTCATTATTGCAACTCACAACAATATTACAATAAAAGGCTCAGTCACCGATCACAGTCTCATTGACGGGACTCACTATTATATTATCATTCATTATCGTATCACAATTAAAGTCTCATTCACAGGCCATTATTATATTATCATTCACTATCATATAACGCATGAAATTACAATCAAAGTTTCTTCCAAGGGTCAAAGTCTCATTCGCTATTATATTACAATTAAAGTCTCATTCACGGACTCACTACCATATTAAAATTAGTCTCATTCACGGGACTCATTATCATATTACAATTAAGGTCTCATTCCAGGACTCACCATTATTTTATCATTCACTATCATATTACAATTAAAGTCTCATTCACAGACTCACTATTATATTACTACACATAATAGCAAGATATATTATTACATGTATAACAATATAAAAGAAATATATTATATAATATATAACATATAAGTACTATAATATATACAAGTACTGACGTCATGCTTGAGAAAGATGGGGTCGTTATCGTCAGCGTCGGTGACATTGATGGCGATGGTTATGCCACATATATTATTATATTTATAACAGTATAAAAGTAATATAATATATAACATATAAGCAATATAATATATAAGAGTACTGACGTCATGCTTGAGGAAGATGGGGTCGTTATCGTCGGCGTCGGTGACGTTGATGACGAGTACCCGCGACGTCTGCTGGGGGGGCCTGCCGAGGTCCTGGGCAACCACCACGACGCTGTACTGCGCCTGCCGCTCCCGGTCCAGGGGCGCCTGCGTGCTGATCACGCCTGTCTGCGAGTCTGCGGCCGCAGNATTTGTTTATGACACAAACTCATGTACAAGTGAAATATTCAAATTTTTACTCTGGACAAGGCACCATTGTCGAAACCTGACTCGGGCTCCGATTCCTAAAATGAACCTTCCATTTGCTTAGAGAACAAACACATACATGAATGTATACAGTATACTTATAAAAAATTTAAACTTCCCCCAATTCCATTGTCTAAAATGAGTTGATTTCTAATGAATAAAAGCTCACTTCCAGCACGATTGTCACTTCGTTAGGCATCATGTGCGGACTCCGTTTAAGTAAAAAATAAATTCATACTTCTCTTAATTTCATAGTCGAAAAAGCGCCACTTTATAAAGTAAAATCTCACTTCCAGCACGTATGCGACTTCCACTTTCTAAAATAAAATCTCACTTCCAGCACGTATGTGACTTCCACTTTCTAACATAAAATCTCATTTCCAGCACGGAAGCGACTTCGTTAGGCATGGGATGTATGAATTTCGGGACTCCGTTTTCGTAAAAGAAATTCGAACTTTTCTTAATTTCCTAATCGAAGAAGCGCCACTTTCCAAAATAAAATCTCACTTCCAGCACGTTTGCGACTGGCACTTTCTAAAATAAAGTCTCACTTCCAGCACGGACGCGACTTCGTTGGGCATGGGGTGTATGAACTTTGGGACGCCGTCGTTGGAAGACACGTCGCCGATGTAGAGCTTGATGATGACCTCCGAGAACTGCTGAGGGCTGCCCTGGTCCATAGCCCGCACCTTGAGCTCGTAGGGCTCCCCTCGGCCCTTCCCTCGCAGGGGCGCCGACACCGTTAAAATGCCGCTCTCAGGGTCCAAAGTAAACAAGCCTGCCGGAGTATTTTATTTTACCTTCTATGATAATTTTGAAATATAATTAGTACTAAACTATAATTATGAGGGTTTCATTTCCCCTCGGCCCTTCCCACGCAAGGGCGCCGACACCGTTAAAATCCGCTCTCAGGGTCCAAAGTAAACAAGCCTGCCGGCGTATTTTACTTTACTTTCTATCGTAATTTTGTAAATATAAGTAATACTAAACTATAATTATGAGGGTTTCATTGATAATCAAATTACTTGAAAATTAAAGAAAAATAAATTACTCTAGCATATCTACAACGCAAAAACTTTCATCGAAAATATCTATTACTTTAAAATTTATTATTTCATCCACTTCACCCTCATTAAATGTTATGTAACATGTAGCATTTAAACCGCAGCATGTACTTTGATAGCTTCGCTAGTAAGACCTTAAGATCTGCCGCAGTTAACACGTACTAATAATTTATTTAAGGACACAAAACCAAGGTTATGCTGAAAGCACCGCCTTCGACGGCAACCAAGCGCCGCTCACCAGTGACACAGAGAAATTATTTGATCTTTCCAAGGCTCAAACCCACGGCTAGCTACTCTCATATCGGTACCGCTACCACTGCGCTACAGTGGCTCTACTACTCTCATCTACGTTGCCAAAAAAAAACTTTCCTCTGCATGGTCACTACAGCGGCCTCTGGTTCACTAAACCAAAAAACTTCATGTAGAAAACTTCATTCAAAGAAACTTAAATTTAAAAACTTCATTTAAGAAACTTCATTTTGAAAAACATCATTTAAAAATACTTCATTTGAAAAATTTCATGCTAAAAACTTAATTTAAGAAAATATAACTCAGTACTCACTGCAGTGAGTGACAGAGAGCGCATTTTCTCGTCGACGAAAACTTGAGGTCACGGACGGACGGACAGACAGACAGNTTAATTTTACGTCCGACAGCTCAAAGAGCTCCGGCAGTTCAGGCACAGGACCCGTTTTTAATACTTAAGTTAGTGTGTAAAACAAATTACAACTTGCTAGAATTCGCCAAAAGTCTATGTCTATTGTTTCTTAGGTAAAAATAGCGCTTAAATAGGATTAATAAAAAATTTACCGCGCGAGCGTATTTGAGCGTCCAAGCAATATACAACATCGTCAGTGAAAAAAGTGCGTAGGTAAACTGACGCACGAATAAAGCGTACGCACCTTGACGCACGCACTAAGCGTATACGCACCTTGATGCACGAACAAAGCGTACGCACCTTGACGGCGGCCCAGCGGCTGGTGAGGCCGCCCCCCGGGGTGTCGGTGGCGGTCACCTCCAGCGTCAGCGTCGCCTGCTGCTCCCGGTCCAACACCGCCCCCCGGGAGACCACCACCTGCAGGCGGTTGAAATAATTTATCTTAATATCCACAAATTGAAAAAAAATTAGCCATGATAGCATTCCAAATTTCAGACTTGTATCTTATTTATGGGGGGGAGTTATATCTGTTGAATTCATTGTGAAGAATCTCCATAGACGACCACCGCGGCTAAGCGCGTTGATGCAGGGTCTTAATACGCAAGCGTGAGTAGTACATTCTCATACGCAGCGTGAGTTAATGTCTTCAGCTTGGGCCTGATCTCCCCGGGGGGCGTGTTGAACACAAAGCGCATCAGGTCAGAGTCTCGCACCACCACCACCTGACAACATTTTAAACCATGAAGATTTCCTGAGAATGTTCATTTCCACCACTACCTGAGAACATTTCCATAGAGGTAAAACCATGAAAAAACGATGCTGGAAATAAGGTATCATAACCTAAATTGGCGAAAAGTTACAACGACAATAGGAGGTATGTAACTTAATTATAATAAACAAGAGGAAATTTTACCATAACAGTGTCAAATACAGGCTGCTTCTCTTATATTGGCATAGGAATAGGACTTTAATAGTGATATACAAGGATTTGCCAAAATATATGAAAGACATGAGAAATCCACAAAATATGTATATGTTGTAGGTTCACCTGTTGCGGTAATTACAGCCTCAATTCTCCCAGGTAGAGATTCTTAAAAACAAATAAATTATAAAACAAAATACATTAATAGTGGCATACACATGCTGCTAAGGCAAAGCAAAATACTATTGGAAACATAAGTTGCCGAAAAATTGTAGAGAAAATATGCAATAAGTAAACTCAATATTATAACTAATAGCAATAATAAGAGACCTTAATAGTGGCAAAGACAGGCTGATACGTCAATGCGAAATAATATTGGAAACATAAGTTGCCGAAAAGTTGTAGATAGAATAGGAAATAAGTAACCTCAATATTAAAAATACTAGCAATAATAAGAGACCTTAATAGTGGCAAAGACAGGCTGCTGCAGAGGCTCGCTGACGGCGGTGACGATGATGGTGAAGGTGCCGTGCGTGTAGCGCGTGAGGGGCGCGTGTGTCAGGAGACGCCCTGTGTTCNAAGGATCTAGATCACTATATTGATAAGCATCTCAATGTTTACCTCGAATGAGGTATAAGGCTGACAAACAAGCCATAGGAGCATGCTGCTGTTCTGTAACTGTCTCTTATACACATCTAGATGTGTATAAGAGACAGGCGCTAGTTAGTCTCTTAATAAAACGAACTGAGCTGAAATAACAGGAATTTGCTAGCAAGGTTAATGGAAATTAAGAATGAAATTATTGGATTAAATTACTACGTCTTTCCACAAAATTCTTGAATTAACCGCCCACTTTATAGTTTATTGAGGCCTGATGATGAATAGAAGCCGTTCCACTACGCATTATTTCCAAGCAAAAATTAAAAGCATCTAAACTGCACCGCCTGATTTAAACAGCGTGTGGTGTTAAAACAATTGCACAGACTTTTGTTCAACTTGACAATATTAATATTTGTTTAGAACATAATTTTCGATCAAAGTTAGTGTGAGAAAATGTTAGTGATTTCGCCTAACTCAATTTAGATTCTAGATGAAAACTATCAGCGATTAAACTGCGATAAATTCAACTCTTCTGAATTTTATGGATAATTTCTAATGACAATAATTGGCACATGGGTTCAGACATACTAAATGCAAGACACACCCAAATGTTCATATTATAATATATATATTATTGATATGATAATTATATTAATTGACATGAGTGATGATATATAATAGATATAATAATTATAAGAATTAACATGAGTGATCATATAACCTTAAGGGCATGACACACCTGACAGGGGGCGACGTCGGGTCAGCGTCGACGGCGTGCACAGTAACGACCTGCGTCTGTAGAGGAGCGTCTACCCGCACCCCCGCCTGTAGCAGGTCTGCGTCAAACTTGGGCTTGTTGTCGTCTAGATCGTCGATCAGGATCATGACCTAGGGAATAGATCATCAGAACTGATTACCAATAGTACAACTAATCAGGATCATGACCTAGGGCAGAGATCATTGAAACTGATTACCAATAGTAAAACTAATTAGGGCCATGATCTAGGGAATAGATCATCAGAACTGATTACCAATAGTACAGCTAATTAGGGTCATGATCTAGGGAATAGCTCATCAGAACTAATTACCAATAGTAGAACTAATCAGGATCATGACCTAGGGCAGAGATCATTGAAACTGATTACCAATAGTACAACTAATCAGGGTCATGACCTAGGGAATAGATCAGCGATACTAATTACCAATAGTACAACTAATTAGGGTCATGATCTAGGGAATAGATCAGCGATACTAATTACCAATAGGAGAACTAATTAGGGTTATGACTTGGAGAATAGATCATCGAAAGTGAAAACCAATAGTATAAATAGTCAGGATCATGACCTAGACAATAGATCATCGATACTAATCAACAATAGAATACCCAACTGATTAGGAATTAGTTGTACCTAGGTAATAGATCATCGAAACTAATTACCAATAGTACAGCTTATCACGATCATGTCCTAGAGGAGCGATTAGGATCTCAAGACCAGTCAGCATTGATACAATTACATTAGTTCAATTATTCCATTCGACCTCCCACAATAAGCATGCCGTCTTAATCAATTGTTATCAAAAAATGATGCATTTAATAAACACGGAAGATATTTATTTTGCCCTCTCTTTATTAGCAGCGTAAAAATGACACGAAAAATTCTCCATATTTTGTGTTTATTCACGATGAATGAACTTTGACCTACAGCAGGCTGGTGTCTCTGACCTGCAGCAGGCTGGTATCTCTGACCTGCAGCAGGCTGGTATCTCTGACCTGCAGCAGGCTGGGGTCGCCTTCACTGTACTGCAGGCGGGAAGGCAGGCGACTACCAAGTTTGCCACAGGCGATCGTCAGCGTGAAGGAACTCATCTGCTCGAATAATTATAATTATACGAGAAATTATATATAATAACCATCATTATTAAAGTAATTATAATTTCCATGATTATAATCTAAATCATCGTTTCCATACGCTACGACGAATGAATACGAACGATAATCGTATATTGACGAAGTAATCAGCATTTAAGCGAATATTTAAATAGCCTCCTAAGTTTTATAAATAGAATGCTGTACTAAAATCGAAGTTTTATAAATCTAATATAAAACATTGAAAAATTTTTTATTGTAACATATATAATCCATGATAAGTACACACTTGATGTACTTCTGTTTAATAAGTACATGTACACTTCATCGAATAAATTTCGGCTCTCCTTTAATTTAAGGAGCAATACATATTTAAACTGTTCTCAATACAATATTTAGTCCCATTCTAGTCCTAACAAAAAAATTAGTCAATTTTTGAGTCGTTGTGCAATGGCCGATATGTTTTTAATAATTTTACTAATCCATTCAAAAAACTTCTTTGTTATCTCTCACCTTCTCCCGGTCAATCCTCCTCCTGACGATGAGACGAGCTGTGTTGTTGTCGGTCCTCTCTAGCGACACCAGCCCTTCGTCGTTACCGTCTGCAATATTAAACCAATTAAATTTAATTATTTTTAGTATTTAATAACAGTAATTCCCAAGCTCGTCGTTACCGTCTGCAATATTAAACCAATTTCATTTAAATATTTTTAGTACGGTATATAATAGCAGTAATTCCCGAGCCCCTCGTTGTTACCGTCAGCAATATTAAACCAATATAATTTAATTTTTTTGTATTACTTAATAACAGTAACTTCCAAGCGCCCTCGTCGTTAACGTCTGAAAAATTGATATAAGGACGAATATAATTGAAGATATTTTTATTTATTTATTTAACAGCAGTAACTATTATTAGTCAATTTTTATGTAAAAGATTATATAATAGCTGCCCAGTTTGTTCAAGATTGTTTTGAAAGGTAATCGTGATTTATTAAGTCAATAATTCAACCATTTAATGAATAGATCAACGATCGTTAAAGCTATTCGTACCTAACGAACACGAGCTTTTTTACTTACAAACACTCAGAAGAATCAAGAGAATTTGTCCCAATAGTAATGCAGTTCTTGCTCTTGTAGGGGCCTTCCTGACCCAGTTTTGCTCGGCAAAAATACGTATCAGTGCTACGTACACAAAGTGTCACTATTAGGACAATACGGCCCATTCATTTCTAAGAGTGTGTGGCGTTCGTATTCGTAGGCGAATACCGTAGCTTAATTGTGAATCGTGTGAATTGGGCATAGGCTACAATTTCAGGTCTGTGAGCGGGCAGAAATTCGGTTAATTGCTGATCATTTTCTGTCTTTTTTTCAAAAGCTGAAGAGATTGGTTCATACGAAGCGCACACTTAGAAAAATCAATGGGTCATGCCGTCCAAATAGTGACAAACTTCCTGTAGTGTCCAAATAGTGACAAATTGACGCCTTTTTGCCAGAGGAAAACTGGATCAGGGTGATTCACACAAGGTAAAAAGTGCTTCGCTAGAGCTTCGCTATTAGTCTTTTCTCTGCGTAAACGAGTTAATCCAAGGCAGCACGAAACTATGATTCATCATAAATCAAGATCAAGATAATGTCTTTGAAACCTTGAGAAATTTCATAAAATTAATAAATTTCTTTAAAATTTTAAGTTATAAGTTTAAGTAGAATATTAAGTGGAGGCTTACAAGTGATGGCGTAGTCAATATAAGCGTTGTCACCCTCATCCCTGTCAGTGGCAGCCACCTCCCCCACCACCGTGCCTGGGGCGGCCTCCTCCTCCACCTGCAGCTCCACTACACGCTGTCGTGTCGTAATATATGATGTACAGTACAATGTGTCGTAATATATGATATACAGTACAATGTGTCTTAAAATACGATATACGGTACAATGTGTCGTAACATACGGTATAAAATGCAATATGTCGTAAAATACAATACAATGTGTCGTAAAATATGATATACCATGTGTTGTAAAATACGATATACAGTACAAATTGTCGTAAAATACGATATGCGATACAATGTGTCGTAAAATAAGATATGCAATACAATGTGTCTTCATATACGATATAATGTGTCGTAAAATACGATATACGGTACAATGTGTCGCAAAATAAGATTACATTGGGGCATTTTATAACCATTTATTTACCCTCCCATCGTCGTGATGAAAAATTATCACAAAAAGCATGGTGGACCCAAAAATCATATATATATAAAAATCATATAGATTCTATAAATCATGGTGAACACTATTGTATAACAATAAAGGTCTCATTTACGGGACCCATAATTATTGTCTTGCAACCTAAGTTTCATTCACGAGGCACACTATCATTTTAAAATCAAAGTCTTATTCACGGATCTTAATTCCATTATTGCAACTCAGCACACTATATATTGTAATTAAAGGCTCATTCACAGACTTGCTATCATATTATTATTCACTATCATATCACAATAAAAGTCTCGTTCACAGACTTACTATTATATTATTATACATATTAGTAAGAAATATTGTTATGCCAGATATATTACTATATGTAAAACAATATAGAAGTAATATAATTTAATAATATATAACATATAAGTTATATAATATACAACATAGTACTATAATATATAACTGTACTGACGTCATGCTTGAGGAAGATGGGGTCGTTATCGTCGGCGTCGGTGACGTTGATGACGAGCACCCGCGACGTCTGCTGGGGGGGCCTGCCGAGATCCTGGGCAACCACCACGACGCTGTACTGCGCCTGCCGCTCCCGGTCCAGGGGCGCCTGCGTGCTGATCACGCCTGTCTGCGAGTCTGCGGCCGCAGGAATATCATAAATAGTTACAGGTCCAGGGGCGCCTGCGTGCTGATCACGCCTGTCTGCGAGTCTGCGGCCGCAGGAATATCATAAATAGTTACAGGTCCAGGGGCGCCTGCGTGCTGATCACGNCCTGTCTCTTATACACATCTAGATGTGTATAAGAGACAGAATTAATACTTGATAACAAGCCTTGGTGATTAAACACACTAATGAGAATCCCGAGAATTACTTTTCTTTCCATCACAGCTGAAATAAAGGAAAATATATCCTCGGTCAACAACAATGACCACAAAAAACAAGCCACAGCAGCAACCAACAAATGAGAAGATAATAGAAATATTTAATAATAGTAATAGCAGTAACCCAGTGATGAAGTAATAATAGAAACAGTAATAGTATTAATGGTAATAGTAATATTAATATCAAAAGAAGAAACTAACCGATGACGAAGAGGCCATTGTTAGCTGTGTAGTCCAGGTAGAAATATTTAATAATAGTAATAGCAGTAACCCAGTGATGTATGTACAAGTGAAATATTCAAATTTTTACTCTGGACAAGGCACCATTGTCGAAACCTGACTCGGGCTCCGATTCCTAAAATGAACCTTCCATTTGTATAGAGAACAAACACATATATATATACTTATATAAAATTCAAACTTCCCTTAATTCCATTGTCTAAAATGAGTACCTTACCAATGAATAAAAATCTCACTTCCCGCACGAACGCTACTCGTTCGTTAGGCATCATGTGTATAAACTTCGGGACTACGTTTACGAAAAAAAGAAATTCAAACTTCTCTTAATTTCATTGTCGAAGAAGCGCCACTTTCTAAAATAAAATCTCACTTCCAGCACGGATGCTACTTCCAATATCTAAAACAAAATTTCACTTCCAGCACGGAAGCGAATTCGTTGGACATGGGGTGTATGAACTTCAAGAAATGTTACTTTTCGTATACGGTACTTTTCCTTATTCCACAGTCAAAGAAGCGCCACTTTCTAAAATAAAATTTCACTTCCAGCACGTATGCAACTGCCACTTTCTAAAATAAAATCTCACTTCCAGCACGTATGCAACTTCCACTTTCCAAAATAAAATCTCGCTTCCAGCACGGACGCCACTTCGTTCGGCATTGGGTGTATGAACTTTGGGATTCCGTTTACGTAAAAGAAATTCGAACTTCTCTTAATTACATAATCGAAGAAGCGCCACTTTCTAAAATAAAATCTCACTTCTAGCACGTATGCGACTGCCACTTTCTAAAATAAAAAATCTCACTTCCAGCACAGACGCGACTTCGTTGGGCATGGGGTGTATGAATTTCGAGATATGTTACTTTCCGTATACTTTTTCTAATTCCACTGTCAAAGAAGCGCCACTTTCCAAAATAAAATCTCACTTCCAACTCGTATGCAACTGCCACTTCCTAAAATAAAATTTCGCTTCCAGCACAGATGTAACTTCCACTTTCTAAAACGAAATCTCACTTCCAGCACAGACGCGACTTCGTTGGGCATGGGGTGTATGAACTTCGATATATGTTACTTTCCGTATACTTTTCCTATAATTCCAAGTGCTGTCAAAGAAGCGCCACTTTCCAAAATAAAATCCCACTTCTAGCACGTATGCGACTGCCACTTTCTAAAAAAAACTCTCACTTCCAGCACAGATGTAACTTCTACTTTCCAAAAAAAAATCTCACTTCCAGGACAGACGCGACTTCGTTAGGCATGGGATGTATGAACTTCGGGACGCCGTCGTTGGAAGACACGTCGCCGATGTAGAGCTTGATGATGACCTCCGAGAACTGCTGAGGGCTGCCCTGGTCCATAGCCCGCACCTTTCGACGAAAACTTGAGGTCACGGACGGACGGACAGACAGACAGACAGACGGACATGGCGAGCACAATAGTGCATTTTTTCCATAAATGAGAAAATGTGCTAAAAAATTTCACTTAAAAATACCTCATTTAAAGCAACTCCATTAAAAAAAACTTTTAAAAAAATGTCATCACTAGACCGCTTAATTAAAAAAAAATTCACTTAAAAAGACCTCATCACTAGACCGCTGAACACTAACGAGCAACACTGACCATCAAGCGGGACTTGGTTCTCAGGGAGGAAGTATCGGACGAGTCCGTTGAGGCCCTCGTCAGGGTCGTGGGCCACGACGTGCGTGACGGGCGTTCCGATGGCTGCGTTCTCGGCCACGACTGCCGTGTAGCCTTCCTCGCTCCATACAGGCACTTCGTCGTTCACGTCAGTCAGCTCGATGAACACCTGCACACGACAGTCACACGACAGTCACATGACAGTCACACGACAGTCATACAGCAGTCACACGACAGTCACACGACAGTCACATGACAGTCATATGACAGTCACATGACAGTCATATGACAGTCACACTGCAGTCACACGACAGTCACACGACAGTCATATGACAGTCACACTGCAGTCACACGACAGTCACATGACAGTCATACAGCAGTCACATGACAGTCATATGACAGTCACACTGCAGTCACACGACAGTCATACAGCAATCACACGACAGTCACACGACAGTCCTACAGCAGTCACACGACAGTCACACGACAGTCATACGACAGTCGCACGACAGTCATACGACAGTCATATGACAGTCATACGACAGTCATACGACAGTCACATGACAGTCACAAGACAGTCATACGACAGTCACATGACACTCACACGACAGTCACACAACATTTATTTATAAATGAAGTAGCTAAGGGCACTACAGTTGTGCACAATACGATTGGGTGATATGTGTTTACAACTGAAACTGTTAATTTTTATAGCTTACTTCCCATTGATGAGCCCCTGGCAGAAGTAATAGGACACGTTTTCAAAAGTGATCTTGGATGTACATTCGCACACACTACGATGTAATATGTGAGAGCAGACTCATCTTAATTTTACGTCCGACAGCTCAAAGAGCTCCAGCAGTTCAGGCACAGGACCCGTTTTTAATACTTAAGTTAGTGTGTAAAACAAATTACAACTTGCTAGAATTTTTCAAAAGTCTATGTCTATAGTTTCTTAGGATTCATAAAACCTTTGAAATGTAGCGCTTAAATAGGATTTAAAAAAATTTACCGCGAGCGTATTTGAGCGTCCAAGCAAAATACAAAATTCAGTGAAGAAAGTGCCGTAGGTAACTTGACGCACGAACAAAGCGTATACGTACCTTAACGGCGGCCCAGCGGCTGGTCAGGCCGCCCCCCGGGGTGTCGGTGGCGGTCACCTCCAGCGTCAGCGTCGCCTGCTGCTCCCGGTCCAGCACCGCCCCCCGGGCGACCACCACCTGCAGGCGCGTGACATAATTTATCTTAATATCCACAAATTGAAAAAAATTAGCCAAGATAGCATTCCAAATTTCAGACTTGTAACTTATTTATGGGGGGAGTTATCTGTTGAATTTATTGTGAACAATCTCCATAGACGACCACCGCGGCTGAGCGTGTTGATGCAGGGTCTTAATACGCATCGTGAGTGGTACATTCTCATACGCAGCGTGAGTGGTATATTCTCATACGCAGCGTGAGTAGTACATTCTCATACGCAGCGTGAGTAGTACATTCTCATACGCAGCGTGAGTGGTACATTCTCATACGCAGCGTGANAATACTGAATCAATGCACCTGAATTTATACTGAATCAATGCACCTGAATTTATACTGAATCAATGCACCTGAATTTATACTGAATCAATGCACCTGAATTTATACTGAATCAATGCACCTGAATTTATACTGAATCAATGCACCTGAATTTATACTGAATCAATGCACCTGAATTTATACTGAATCAATGCACCTGAATTTATACTGAATCAATGCACCTGAATTTATACTGAATCAATGCACCTGAATTTATACTGAATCAATGCACCTGAATTTATACTGAATCAATGCACCTGAATTTATACTGAATCAATGCACCTGAATTTATACTGAATCAATGCACCTGAATTTATACTGAATCAATGCACCTGAATTTATACTGAATCAATGCACCTGAATTTATACTGAATCAATGCACCTGAATTTATACTGAATCAATGCACCTGAATTTATACTGAATCAATGCACCTGAATTTATACTGAATCAATGCACCTGAATTTATACTGAATCAATGCACCTGAATTTATACTGAATCAATGCACCTGAATTTATACTGAATCAATGCACCTGAATTTATACTTAATCAATGCACCTGAATTTATACTGAATCAATGCATCTGAATTTATTATAGAAGCAATGCACCTGAATTAATATTGAATCAATGCACCTGAATTCATACTGAATCATAGCACCTAAATTTATACTACTTGTAAATTGAACTTCATTCATGACGAACTATTTATTGATATTTATTTCTATATAATTATTTATTTATAAAGTGTCACTCACCTCGCCAGTGGTGTCGTTGATGACGAACATCATAGCGGCCTCCCCCCCGAGGGCGTAGCTGACGGCGCCGTACGCCCCCGTGTCAGCGTCCTGCGCCTGCACCGTCAGCACCGAGCTGGGCCAGCGACTGGCCTCACTCAGACGTGCGTGATACTCCTACACTCAGGGAAATAGGTGTGAAAATAAGTGATGTAAATGAGACATCATCGTTAGTAGCTCGGCCAGCGACTGGCTTCACTCAGTCGTGCGTGATACTCCTACACTCAGGGAAATAAGTGATGTAAATGAAGCGACTGGCCTCACTCAGTCGTGCGTGATACTCCTACACTCAGGGAAATAAGTGATGTAAATGAAGCGACTGGCCTCACTCAGCCGTACGTGATACTCCTACACTCAGGGAAATAAGTGACGCAAATGAGACATCACCGAATAAGCCTCAGCATATTCATAAAAATGACAATAACATAATGAGAACAGCAATAAGGGATAACATATGACAAGGTTCGTTCGCCCAAAACACGTTTGAAGATTACTATATCATAGTAATTTATATTATATTATATCATATTATATTGAATTATATTATATTATATTACATTATATTATAGTATAGTCAGAACCAGCAGACAATCTGCCCTAGTGTAGCATTTGATTTTACGGTATTTTCCTGAAAGAAAAAAACATATATGCATTATATTACATTATATTATAGTATATACAGAACCAGCAGACAATCTGCCCTAGTGTAGCATTTGATTTTACGGTATTTTCCTGAAAGAAAAAAACATATATGCATTTTTGGCAGACGTTTGATTGCTAAATGTTGGAAGTACGCCTTCATTGCATGCCTTAAGAGTGCATCTGTCATATTAAATATTTACTTCTGAAATGAAAGAGTCCTGTCAATTTCTAAAAATCAATGAAATGTTTTCTAAAGAAATGTTTTCGATATTTAGACCATAAATTAGATATTGAGAAACGGGGACACGAAAATTTCTCGCAGATCATAGGGACCACCTTTAAATATAATAATTTCATAGATGGTTAGGTTACGTGTTTTGTCATTTTGTTTTTGAGTTACCTATTACGTGACCTCATGTAGACCCGCCTTGTATCTTGTCATTGCTATGTCATCCACCACAGAGGTTAGTGCTTGCATTGTTTATCGTGTTCATCTTCAGTGTTGATATAGTGGTGGCCTTTTTGGTGATATTGAATATTGTTATTTATATTATTTATTATTTATGTGTGTTATATTCATTTGTTAGTGTTGCGTTAATTCAGACTGATAGTTTGTATTTATTTGTATAAAAAATAAATTTGTATTTATTTGTGTTTTTTCCAGCGGGGCTCCGAATCTAGGACATGATTTGGAATTAATAGGCATGGGCTAGAAAGACACAAGGTCCATAGTTTTGTTATTTGTTTTATTGTATTTATCGTTTACTTATTATGATAGTTCTTAATTTATCAGTTTTATTCATCCTTTATATGCGATCATTGGCCAAGTGTTCGGGGTCACAGAATACTTATTTATTGATTAGTCCCCAACATTGTAATTGATAAACGACAAAAAAACTGAGCGAGAGCTAAAGATCGTCATATCTCATACCTGGGCTTAATGATATGTTGCTCAATAATGTTATCATTGTTCAGCTATTGTATTATTGTTTGTTGGGTCATAGTTGTATTTCTTATAATAGAATAACTCTACTGAAAATCATCATAAATTAGGCAGCATGTCGCATATAATCATGTATGAGCTCTGAAACTTCGTCGCAGGCATCAAACTAGTTAAGTTCAAATACGGCAGCAATATTATTTCAGTTAGCGAAGAAAATCATTATCACATTTTTTCCGTGAAATGGAACGTTCGTCCGCATAAAGTAAAGATGATATGAGTTTGACGGTCTTCAAAACTCGCGGTTTAATGCTTCGAAGATAAGTGCGATCCTGTCAAGCTACGTAGACCTTTTCTCCGTCCACTCAAATTACCCGAGCCACGACGCAATTACGAGCAATTATCACTCCATTCACTTGGCAGCCTTTAGCTTGAAGAAGTCTTTGAAATTGGTGAGTCAGCCAAACTACGTTGAAATCTTTCCAGAATTTGTCACTTGGTGGGACTGAAGAGACTGTCATAGCGCGGGGTTATTAGTGTCTCACGAACCCGGCAGCCAGACACGAATTTCTCAAGCCCGGTCAAGGGTAATTATTTCTTAACTTACGTCGGTTAAATTCAAAGTAGTTTCTGCAATTTTTTCTTTACGCAGGAACAGGGAGGGTCATGGCCAAAAGCTCGAGGTGAGGTACATGGCCTTATGCAAAACACTAGCGAGAAATTGTGTCAAATAATGAAAAGAATTTGATATCATAAACGTGCGTGAGCCCCGAACATTTATTTTAGTCCAACTAATTTTTAATAACAATCTTAAATCTATGTACCGCGATCGGCTAGACTCGTACATAGTACATATTTTAATTGGCTAACGTTTATATATCCTCGTCACTTTTGAGAAGCAATTACTGAACCGACAACTGAACTTAAGACTGACATCGTACAGTTCATTTCAGCGCACAGCGGGGGAGCAACGGCTGACAGTGCCATGCATGATGATGGCTGACATTGCCATGCATGATGATGGCTGACAGTGTCATGCATGATGATGGCTGACATTGCCGTGCATGATGATGGCTGACATTGCCGTGCATGATGACGGCTGACATTGCCGTGCATGATGATGGCTGACATTGCCGTGCATGATGATGGCTGACATTGTCGTGCATGATGATGGCTGACATTGCCGTGCAAATAAGTCCCACTCACAGCAGTAAACTTCTTGAGCAGAGCCTGACAGCGTTTATGACTAAAAGTGCTTTCATGTCGAAATTATCGAGGCAGTATCAATAAATTCAATATCATTTTAATGTTTATGACCAAAAGTGCTTTCATGTCGAAATTATTGAGGCAGTATCAATAAATTCAATATCATTTTAAGTCCCTACAAGACATAATGGAATAGTCTACAAAGTCAAATCATTTTTTCCACCAACTCACGCTGAAATCTCAAACTGAACTACCAGAAATCTTGAGCATTATTTGTTTTTATGATGAATCTGATACAAAACGAGCGGCTTTCCGAAATGAATTCCCTGCATTCAAATCAAATAGAGTTTTTAAGCAGCAGTCACGTAGGAATTAATCCGCAACCTCAGTTAAAATTGGTTCCAGATCGGGAGATTTCTTTGAAACGTATTATAATTAAATGTATTATTGTAAATGTACTCGCTATTTCCAAGCACGCAAGTCGACGCGAAATACGATTAATACATCTATGCTCAATACTGCCAGGTGCTCAAATGTACGAAATTCTTTTCATACGCCAAAGCTCGATACATCGAATAATACGTCTAAGCTCGATACGTCGTGGCTCACTACTGCCAAAATGAAGTATGTTAAATACGTCCTAGCTAAGTACTGCCAATGCGAAATAAGCTCAAATTATAGTGTCTGAACGAAATACGTTCAATACGCAAAAGCTTATTATTGCCAACATAAAATACGTTTAATACGTCTCAAAATACGTTTAATATGTCTCAAAATACGTTAATTTGCGTCTCAAAATACGTTAATTTACCTTTCAAAACCCGTTTAACACGTCTCAAAATACGCTTAACGCGTCTAAGCTCAGTGCCGCCCAAACAAAGCACGCTTAACACGATTAAGCTCAGTACCGCCCTATTTGCGATATTTTCCTGAAAGAGAACATATATGCATTTTTTGCAGAAATTTGATTGCTAATTTTTGGAAATACGTCTTCAATGAATGCCTTATATGAGCGCATCTTACATAATAAATATTTAATTCTAAAATGAAAGAAACCCGTTCATTTCTAAGTATCATGAATTGTGTGAATTTTAGAATAATGCAGAAATGATTTCGATATTAATATCATAAATTAGGTATTGAGTAACGGAGACACGGAAATTTATCGGAGATCTATCTTTGTAGTTGATAAATGACAAAAAACTGATCAATGATCATATCTCATTCCTGGGCTTAATGTAATGTTGCCTGATAATGTTATCATAGTTTAGCTATTCTTTTATAAGTAGGTTTGTAGGGTCATAGTTCTATTTTTTATAATAGAATAACTGTAATGGAAATCATCATAAAATAGGCAGCATGTCGCACATAATATGTAAGAGTTCTGCAACTTCTTCGCAGGCACTAAACTATTTAAGTACAAATCTGGCAGTAATATTATTTCAGTTAGCAAAGAAAATCACTATCACTTCTTTTCTATCTTAAATGAAACATTCGTCCGCATAAAGTAAAGATCATACGAGTTGGACGGTCCTAAAAACTCGCGGTTTAATGGTTCGAAGAGAAGTGCGATCCTGCCAAGCTACGTAGACCCTTTTTCCGTCCACTCAAATTACCCGAGCCCCGCAATTACGAACAATTATCACTCCATTCACTTGGCAGCCTTTGGCTTGAAGAAGTCTTTGAAATTGGTGAGTCAGCCAAACTACGTTGAAATCTTTCCAGGATTTGTCACTTGGTGGGACTGAAGAGACTGTCATAGCGCGGGGTAATTAGTGTCTCACGAACCCGGCAGCCAGACACTAATTTCTCAAGCTAATTTCTTTCTCACTAATTTCTTTCATCAAGGGTAATTATTTCTTAACTTATGTCGGTTACATTCAAAGTATTTTTGTAATTTTTTTTTTACTCGGGAACAGTGAAGTTCATGGCTAAAAGCTCGGGGTGAGGTGCTAGCCTTACGCGAAATACCAGCGAGATATTGTGTGAAATAATTAAAAGAATTTGATATCATAAACGTGCGTGAGTCTCGACATTTATTTCAGTACAGATAATTTTTAATATCAATCTTAAATCTATGTACCGCGATCGACTAGACTCGCATACAGTACATATTTTAATTGACAAACGTGCATGATGACGGCTGACATTGCCCTGCATGATGACGGCTGACATTGCCGTGAATGATGATGGCTGACATTGCCGTGCATGATGATGGCTGACATTGCCGTGCATGATGATGGCTGTCATTGCTGTGCATGATGATGGCTGGCATTGCCGTGCATGATGATGGCTGACATTGCCCTGCATGATGATGGCTGACATTGCC